ACACCTGTTTTCATTTCTTTTGGTTTCATACCTCAGAGAGGAACTGCTGGGTCATATGGTTCTCAGCTCAGTCTTTTGGATATATCTTGTCTTTGAAATGTGTTTGGAAAGTAACGGAGTAGTTGGGACACAGAGGTGGACGCCATGCAGTCAGACCCCACTTGTTCCTCTGTAGGCAGGTTTTCTGCTGCTTTAGAAGAGTCAGCCATGTACACTGAGCCCCAACATCTGCACTTAGTGCCCATTTTCAGCAGACATGGCAGTGGAAGGAAGGCTTGAGGCTGTGAATGAGCCAGCTCAAACCAGTGGAACCTGTAGATGCTTTCTGTCCTGGCCTCGAATTTCTGAGCTCTCCCCAAGGGGTAATGACTACCTGGCAAGACCCCTCCAAGAATGTGAGCTGCTGTCCACACTAAAACACCACCACTATTGTGCTGTTTGCCTGCTCCCAGGAGAGGGTGCAAGGTGAGAGGGGAAGCAGGGCTCCTGCTGATATGTAGGGTAGCGACCCAGTGCCCACCTCTGCAGAGATCTGCCTGCTGCCAGTGATTGAGCCACCAGACCATGGTGTTTGATCTACTTTTACCTTTGTAAATATATACGGCCCAGTCACTTGCTGATAGTGTAAACAGGAATGGGAGACTACCCTGCCAAGGGTCTTTCCTCATGGGCGGGTTCCTATCACCTCCAGGCACCCCACCTCTCCCGAGTTCCCAGTTGACTCTTCTCCCTTTCTTTGAGACGAGTGTGTGCTTATGAAAATTGTTCCCACATCCTTTCCAATTGTCCCCTTGTCCATTCTGGGTGGTAAGACTGAGCATAATCTCTTTCTCCCAAAGGCTTGCTCTAGGCTTTCACCTGCATTGACCAGAGAGTGGGATAGGAGCTGGGATCCTAAAGCTGTACCTCTGGTGGCAGCAAGGAACAGGGAACTTTTCAGGCATGAGGGGTCTGGGGGGACCTCCCTTGCATGGCTGGCCGTCAGATCTGGGTTCTGCACAAAGTTCCTAGGAGTCCCTGCGGCTGGCGATCCTAGCAGGACCTGACAGAAGCCTTGGAGGGAGATGCACGCCCCTGGCTTGCAGAAGCGAGAATGGGGAGGGGCTGTTGAAACCAAGGCTGTCAGAGGTGCTCTTGTTTTGAAGGCTGGTATGGTCTGGCTCTCTGAGAGCAGGGGCAGCAGCTGCATGGCTGGAGGCATATGACCTGCAGTTATCACTTGGGTCCTGAGGGAGCTCTGGGCTTGATCTATCTTAGACCAAACTCTCCTCTGTGCCCCAGGAATCTCATCCAGCCTAGGTTGGAAAAATGCAGGGGAGCTGGGTAGCACCCTGGAAAAGGAGAAGTGTGAACTCTGTAAAAGAAAAGATATGGCTCAGAACCGTATGTGACTGCTGGACGCTGGTTGTGCCAGTTTGACAGGTCTGGCAGTGTGTGCCAAGGGCTCCTCGTTAGGCTTCTCACAGAGCAGGTGCAAGGCTTTCTTTATTGTCTGTATTATCAGACAGACATACAGGTAGAAGAATATAATGAAGCCCTGGTTCCATCACCACCCACTCTCATGAACTCACGGAACACACCCACTAGAAGTTTTGACTCTGTGCTTATTTTGCACTTATTTGTTTTAAAGATTTATTTATTTATGCATACAAGAACTGGGGTGCAGGCCAGCGGTATGGGAGGGGGATGAGAGGATTCACCAGAGATAGAGTGGGGAGCAGAACAGGCAGATTGACTGAAATGCACTGCTGAGGGGAGCAGCGGGCAAGTCAGGAGAGGTCTGCTGCGCCACTGGGTAGCTCCCTGGCCGGGGATCGAACTCATGCTACAGTGGCTGTGGATAGCTTCATAGGTTGCGTCTTAACCCCTTATGCCACCAGGGAGGCCCAGCACTTATCTTGAATTTGGTTGCAGGTGATGCTGGCAATTAAGGGAAGACTCACTCGTCACCTTCCGCCAGGACAACCACTCCCGTGAGGTCTCTGGTGGGAGAGAACCTTCCTGTGTGCTTCTGTGGCTCAATACACATAACGTACAGCGAGCCATCCGAACCATTAAGTGTGTAGTGAGTACATTAGGTACAGCCTCGGTGTAGTGTCACCATTGCCACCATCCATCTCCAGGACTTTTCATCTTCCCAGATTAAAAGTTTGTCCCTGTTAAACAGCTCTCCTTCTCCAGCCTCCCCTGGCCCTTGACAGCCACCCTTCTACTGTCTGTCTCCTTGAATCTGACTATTCTAGGAACCTCATATAAGTGGATCCTACATTAAATTTCCCTGTTTTGTGACTGGCTTATTTCACTTAGCATATTGGCCTCAAAGTTTATCCACGTTGTAATGTATCACAGTGTCCTTTTTAAGGCAGAGTAATATTACATCCCATGACTCTAATACACTTTATCCATCATCTATCAGAGGACACTTGGGTTGCTTCTACCCATTTGGATATTGTGAATAATGTTGCCAAGACCATAAGTGTACAAATATCTTTTCTAATCCCGATTTTCAGTTCTTTTGAGTATATAACAGAAGTAGAATTACTGGATTATATGGTAATTGTTGTTTATTTTTTTAAGGATTTTTTTTAATCAATTTTGTCCTTGAAACATCCTTAAAGAGCTGACTGAGACTCACCTGCAGCTAATTTTTCCCTGCGTTGGGGGCTTGCTCTAAATTCTTGCATCAAAGAATACAGTTCAGATTTGTACAGTGCAGGGGCTGGGGCTGCGGCTGCTAGCAAACTTGTCTGGAAAGGAAGAGGTTTCAGATTTCATCCTGCACAGATCCCTTTTTCATATTGAGCCTTCAGGCAACAAAGCTCTGAGCCAGAATGGGCTCTCTGCCCCTCCCCCTTCTTTTGCCCACTGGTTAACGGTATAGTTGATCTGTCCTCATCTCCCTGAGCCTGCAGAAGCCCTGAGACCCAGACCCAACCGCCTCCTTTCTCATCTTTGGTCTTAGTTTTGGATAGAGTTGTTGCAAGGGCCCGGCTCTTTCAACATCCAGATCCACAGTTTTGCCCACGGTGATGAGACCCAGAGAGGTTTTCTTGTTGCATCCTGGCAGAGGAGGGGGGATTAAGTCTTCTCTCTCACTTTCCTCTGATTCTTGGGACATGGTGGTTTTCAGAATACTAAATAAATGTGCCTTTTGCTCAGAAGGAGGGTGACCTTTTGTGGCATAAAGGTCTTGTGTGAGCATCCTCAATGCAAGAGGAAGGCAGGTGCCTATGCTGGTTAGAATGGTGGCTGGGGAAATCAGGGGCTTTCTTCCCTGCCCCTGTCACATTTGCATTGGAGTAGGCTGGGGGAATCAGCAGAATGAGGGGCACCCAGTCTGGGTTATCTGGAACAATGGGCTGGAGCCTTTGGGTGGAAAACAGCAGGGTGATCAGCCATCTGGACCGAGATTTAAAAGCATCAGTTCCTTGGATTTTGGTTTGGAGGGACCAACATAGTGGTCTTGGTACCTGGAGCCTCTTCGATGTCCCTATCGATTAAGGAGACATGGGACTCTGTACAACTTGTTGGGAGATTCATAGGAGTCCAGCCAGCTCTTGGAGTCCCCTTACTTTGTCTGCTATTCTCAACCCATAATTAGCCTCTGCTGGGACCCTCCTGTGAACACACACACACACACACACACACACACAGGTATAACAGGGTTGGCCTTTGCACTTGGCTCCTGTGTGCAGAGACACTGGGGACATGGTGTGGCAACCAGCAAAGTGCCAGATGCCAGATGGGGGTGGCACAACTAGTCCCAATCCTGCCTGCTGGCCAGATCCCCTGGGAAGCTTTTATGCAGGGCTGAGGACACCTGATAGAGGGTAGTTGGGCAGTGAGGAAGTTGGCACTTTGGCCATCAGTAGGTGCTCACAGCTTGGCAGAGGACCCACTGCTACATCCTGGTGGCTTGGCTTGGCCTGTGGTGAGTGCCCAGTTGCAGTTCTTCCTACTGCCACATGGAAATAATTGAAAATGTTTTCCCTGTGGGATTGCTGAGCCAGCTGCTCTGGAAGTCCAAAGGTGGCCCCATGCAGAACCCTGTGCCTGCCTCGCCTGTGTGGTCTGGGCTCCACCACACGTAGAGTAGATACACTTGGTGGCAGAAGTTGTTGTAAACTAGTGAAGTAACACTGCAGAGTCTACCTGTGGTGGTGCTGTTGGGCAGGGCTGCTTGTAGATGAATCATGGCCAAAGTGATGGCACCTAATTAGCTGACCTCTTGGAAATCCCATGGGCCAGGAAGATGCCCTTTGGAAGGGAGTAGAGAAATGCCCTCATGTGAGGCTTAGAATGGGCTGGTGCTTGTGCATTGATGTCCTGGTGAAGGGTTAGAAGATTAGAAGAATTCTTAGGACAGAGCTCCAGAAAGGTCAAGGGCTATAGGCTGACTGTTGTCGGGTATCTTTGGGATGGAGGGGTTACTGGCTGTGACTAGATCATCCTGAGCAGCCAGGAGCCTGCTGTAGGATAAGCCACTCTCTGTCTTCTTAGGGACAATGAGATTGGGGTAAAGGTAGTCTGGGATTTTTTTCTATCCCTTCCAAGGAGTGGGACTGGCAGATGTGGGGCACTGCTCATGGTGACCTGGGCTTGCACCTGGGCTGGTGAGCTGGCCTGTGCTTGCTGCCCTATCAGGTCACTATGGCAGGTATACAAGAATCATCCCTGATAGCAAAACACTAGTGTTTGGGGTGTGCCATTCTGTACTGGCTCAGACCCCCTTCCTGGGATAAGAGCAGACATACCCCAGCATGTTAAAGTCAGTCTTGTGTTGTTTGGGGGAATAAACTTGTTTAATTCCGCCCCCCAGCCACCCTGTGTTCTCTGGCCTGTTGGTTACAAAGATGAGGTCAGCGTACCTGAGGTCACTGTTTGACAATTGCAGGTGACAGATGGCATCAGCCCAGTGCCTGCTGGGACAGGTGGGTGTGGTCACTCCTTGGGCACTCCCCTCCCCGACTCTAACACACGCTGCTTCTCTGTGCACACAGATGCGTCGTTCGGGACGTCACCTGGATACAGCTGTGCTGCCGACCGGGTTGAGGAGCAGCGCCGGCACCAGGACGGACTGCCCTACATCGATGACTCACCCTCCTCTTCACCACACCTCAGCAGCAAGGGCAGGGGCAGCCGGGACGCTGTGACCTCCGGAGTCCTGGAGCCCAGCAAAGCGGTGAGTCCCAGGGCCACTGACTGAGTCCCAGGCTCCGAGCTGCCACCGTCATCCTGGAGGCTCCTTGCAGTCTATTCACTTGCCAAGGGGCAAGTAGCAAGCAGGTGATGGGGCAGCCAGCAGTTGAAGTCGCTGCAAACTCCTTCCTCATCCTCCACCTGGTGCATGGCATCCCCTTGATGCTCCGCGCATCGAGCAGGGAGGGTAGAGCTGTCAGCCGCGTGTGCAGGAGCCAGGCACATGTGCTGATGCTGAGAAAGCCGGAGCCAAAAGGCTGCCGTGTAAACCAGCAGGGCCTTGGTGGTGGCCTAGCATTGGTGTGGAGCTGCAGTATGCAGGCTTCTGACTTTGTGCTCCGTGCCTCACACTCGCTCCCTTTTACCTTTTGGGCCATGGAACTGTTAAAACCTTCCATTTGGTGACACAGCCCCTCTCCCCTGGCAGGATGAAACTGGCACTACTGACCCAAAGGGGAAGGGCAGTGTGGAAGACTGGGGCCAGAGCTACTGGCTATCAAGTGTCAGGAGTGTCAGGGAAAGGGATGAGGGTGTGGGCATCACTCCCAACTGCCATCCTGAGGTTTGCAATCTGCTGGCTTAGCATGCTCATTCCTTTCTGGGGAAACTCAGTGTCTCACGATATCCCTACCCTTCATCTATAGGGGAGACAATAAAGCAGAGAGAAGGGGACTACAATGTCAGAAGCTCTCTATCGTCAGGTTGTTGTTTTGTGACACACTCTGTGACCTGGGCTGTCCCCCTGCTAGCTGTGTCAGACCGTGTCTCCAGGGTTCCAGTAAGGCGCAGGCCTGGAGACCTCGGTCCTCAGCAGAGAGGGGCAGCTGTGACACTAACCATACCTTATCATGAGGCTGCCCTTCAGGGACCCTTCAGTGAGTGGCAGGCTGGATGGCCCTCCAGCCAGGTGCCTCTAGTGGACATACAGGGGCCCAGAAAGTATGAGGGCACTTGGATTAGCTACTGCTGTGCTACCCTGCCCATGCACTGCCTTAGCTTCAGTTTGGGCATCCCTCTGAGGCTCAGCAGGATAAATGTTGCCTGTGCTGAGTTACTCAGCTCTGGGGTTCTGACTTAAATAAAGTTAATGGTTGCCCTCATCTGCCTTCCCTGCAGCATCAGGGAAATCAAGTGTATGGTGCCAGCTCAGCCTATTCTCTTCTCTTTGGGGAGTCCACCTGGGTTAGTGTGCCAGGGGCGGTCACAGGAATCCTATGAGCTATCCTGTGTGCTAGGTCTCTGTTTGGAGGCTTGGGGCTGCAGGAGCCCCCCAGCCTATGGCCCTGCTGTCTGCTGACTGGACGCCCAGATCATGTCCACTCTGTTGCTAATGACGGCAGGCTCCTGCCTAGAAAGGAAGAGAGCGTCCTGTGTCCAGCTGCTGTGCTGGCTGTGAGCTACTAGGGAGCAGCCCAACCCTTCATGGCTAGGGTTCTGTGCCTTGATCACCCTGGCTTCCCCTGTCTGGGGGTGAGGGGTGCTCCTGGAGCTCTAGCTGCTGTTCAGTTCCTGTTCTGCCAGGATCAGCCCACCTTGTGGACCTGGCAGCGGCTGACAGGTGGTCATTCACTTTACCTGGCTCCCTCTGTTAGCATTGCCTGCCCTGTTGTAATGCCCAGTTCTTTTCATTTTTTCCTCTCTTCTAGCCTCAGGATTTGTGTTGCTTTTGGGTCCCCTCACCTACTCCACCCTGTCCCAACCCTCCCACAGCCTTCCCAGGTCCCACCCCACTCAGGCTGACTCTACCCCATCTCACCTTAGCTCCCTCCTCTCACCCAGCCCCATCCTTTACCCTGTCCCTGACTTGCCTCCCCACCCCAGCCCCTGCCTGGAGCAGCAGTAGGTGGTCTTCCTTCCAGCTTGCTGCCTTTTTTCCCCATTGCCCTTTTCCTCTAGCAGTCCTCCCACCACCCCCCCCACCATCTCCCCCGCCTTCATAGCCCTGACTGGAGTCACATGCTGTTTCCAGAACTAGCACGTGTGCAAGGCAGGCTATAAATAGCCCTCGTCCCAGTCCTGCTCTCTCCTCCTGTCTTCCTTCCCATCCGTGCCTCTATAAGATGGAGTGGGCTGGTGTCCGCGCCTTCCCTGTCTGCCATCAGCAGCATTCAGGGGTCAGGAGACTCCTAGTCCAAAGAGAGGGGCCTGTAGCCTGTGTCTTCCCCAGCCCAGCAGATTCCCGGGCCAGATGTTCCCTTGAGCTGGCTGCGCCCTTTGGAACAGGGAGAGCTGGACTTGGCGCCTTCCTGCCTGCACTCTTTTTCCTCCCGGCTTTCCAAGTTGCGTGGGTGGGAACGAGACACAGTGCTGCCACCCACGAGAGCATGGGCATCTTGTTCTGGGCAGGGCCCTCACCACCCTACTGCCCTCTGGCCTCACAGTAGCCGAATTGTTCCTCAAGACATGGGCAGGGGCGGGTGGGTGGCTGCCACTGATGCAGGAACCCGCTGTACCTTCACCCCTTCCCTTGCGTGGGGTGAGAGCAGTGCTGGGACAGGGTGAGAGGCACCTGGAGGGCCAGCTGTCAGCTGCTTTCCCCACATTCATGGTTTTAGGCTTGGGGGACTGAGAGGAGAGGTTCAGGGTCCACCGACCCTATATGTCTTCACTGGGGACTGTGCTGACTGTGGTATCACTTCAGGCTCCCAGGGAGGCTAAAATGTCAGTCCCATATCCCAGCATTATCTCGCCTATACTTTCTATCTGTGCAGCCAAAAGGAGGCTCAGCCAGGAATTCTAGGTCCACTCATTGGTTAGTTTGTCCAGGTTTTGGGCACTGTGCTGGGTACAGAGTATCAAGATCAGGCAGCGTGCTCTGGAGGCTCCCACTTGTGGAGCTGCTGCCCAGCATGTCCTGGGAGATGGGGACTGTGTGGTGTGGGGCCTGGGTGTCTTATCTGGAATGGCTCTCAGCCAAGATCTTGATGGATGCCCCCCTACACATGTATATGCCCTCCCCAGTTTACGCTTGGCATCAGGGCAAGAGGGCAGTTGCCTAAGACCATGGGGCTCACTGGGCAACCCTGGCTCTGCTGTGCCTGTACCATAGTGCCTCTTTCCCATTGTGCCAGGGACAACAGTTGGGGCCACCTGGGGTCCTGATTTCAAACTCTACAGAGATTCCCGAGGCCTGAGCTGGTCTCAAGTCCTTCCATGAACCCAGAGGTTCTCTCCTGGCAGTAATTTGGGCCTCAGGGAATGTGTCTCAACATTGTAGACATTTGTGGCTGCCACAGCTGAGGGTTGGGAAAGATATTGCTCTTGGCACGTGGTGGATGGAAACTAAAAATGCCGCTTAACACCCTACATGGCATTGGATGGCCTCTTGGCTCCCAACTTGTCAGCAGTGCTAAGGACCAGGAACCTGCCCTGCTCTCAAACAGTGATCTCCCCCGAGTGGTTTGGCAAAGTGAGTGACAAAGTTAATGCTCCAGTTCCACAGTCAAGGACTGCCATGGAGGACTGGCTCATGCTTGCCCATGGGCAGGGAAGCCAGTGGAATGGGTAGGGCTGTCACCTCACCTTCCAGACCCTCAGGGTTCCTCAGCACCCGGGGCCTCCCCTCAGACTACACTGAGGCCCTTTGGCATAGAGGGAGCACAGCATCTACCTGGTGGAGCACTGGTAGCCGTGGGCACAGCACCTTGCTTGTGGCATCATCATCTGTATTAGTTTCTGGAGTGACAATAACATAGTACCATTGACTGGTGGCTTAAGCAACAGAGATTTCTCATAGCTCGAGAGTGGGGCAAGGTCGGCTTCCCTGAGGCATCTCTTTTTGGCTTAGAGATGCCTGTGCCTTCCTCATGGGTGTAACTGTCCTCATCTCCTTTTTTTTTCTCTTTTTGCATTGAGATATTGGTCTCCAATGTTATATTCGTTTCAGGTGTATGACATAATGTTACAATGTATGTATATACTACAAAATGATCACTGCAATAAAAAATATAGTTAATATCTATCACCACTCATAGCTACATTTTTTTCTTGTCCTGAGGACTTTTAGGTTCTACTCTCTTCATAACTTTCAAATATACAGTACAAACATGCAAATATACAGTATACTAGGTCCTACAGTCTAGTAGGTCCTCACATAAGCTGGTATTGTTATAGTATTCATGAGGAAAAAAAATCCCAGCTGACATTGAAATGAAATGACCTTATTCAAGAACCTGCTTTTCTTATATGTCATTTTGCCTATTGACCATATTAAGTGAGGACTTAACTATTTAATTAAGTCACCATCTGTATATTACATCCCCAAAACATATTTATGAAAGTTTATAAATTTAGACCACCTAACCTCTTCTTATAAAAACACCAGTCACATTGGATTAGGGGTCCTGATTCCCTGTCCTAATGATCTCATTTTAACTTAATTACCTGACCAGCTCCTCTGAGAGGCGCCACCTCCAGCCTCCTTCCTCCCTGCCTGATTTTAGTCTCTTTCTCCCACAGAGTGAGCTGGACTTGGAAAAGGGCTTGGAGATGAGGAAATGGGTCCTGTCTGGAATCCTGGCTAGTGAAGAGACCTACCTGAGCCACCTGGAGGCACTGCTGCTGGTGAGGAGGGTGTAGGGGACTGAGCAGGGTGGCTACGGTATCAAAACAAGCACTTTGCTCCCAGGTCTGCTTTTGGAATCTGGCAGCAGCCCAGAGTCATCAGCACACTGTGGGAGGGTCAAAACATTTCACCTGTATAGCCATTGGCCCTCCCCTGTTAAGGGCCCGTGGATACCAGTGGAAGACTGAGATGCCAAACCAAGCTGACTCTAAACTTTTATCTCTAAGTGAAACTTAAAAATAAAAGGTGCGTATGTCACATGACAATGATTTTTCTGTGATCATACCACGTACCTAACAAATAGTGAGTCCTAACAAATAGGTAAGCCTCTGCTGGATTACCTGCACCTGGGCTACCTCACCTGTGCGCTCTTCCAGCCCATGAAGCCTTTGAAGGCCGCTGCCACCACCTCTCAGCCGGTGCTTACGAGCCAGCAGATTGAGACCATCTTCTTCAAAGTGCCTGAGCTGTATGAGATCCACAAGGAGTTCTATGACGGGCTCTTCCCCCGCGTGCAGCAGTGGAGCCACCAGCAGCGAGTGGGCGACCTCTTCCAAAAACTGGTGAGTGACTTGGAGCCCATACTTGACAGCTGCCTGGGAGATTTTGGCCTTGCGGGTGGCCGGGTGGCAGCCAGGCCTCCCCTGCGACCTGTGGACCTCTAGGTGACAGTGATGAGTGAGAGTCTTGCTGTCTCAGATGCGAAAGGGCAGATTTCAAAGAGGGTGCCCTGCCACTACACCCTCACTGGACACCAGCCTGAGACCAGTGATGCTGTCTCCTTCTCTCTGCCGACCCTGGGTACGTTCCTGGGTCCTTCGGGCTCTGCTCAGTTCTGCTCAGGATTTCTGGTCTCTAAATTGGTCCAGCTGCCCCTTGAGGACCCCTTTGGGTCAAACAGATGCTACTGCCAAGGAGAAGAGAACGTAGACACAGGACAGAAGAGATGGAGGGACGGGGGGAGCCTGGAGGGGCAAGCATAGGTGGGAACAGAGTGGAATTATACTATACTTTATTTCAATTATGGAATTAAAGGCACTTGGAGAATTAAAAAAATAAAAGTGGCTTGGGGAGGGCTGATATGAATAAAAATCAAGGGGGTGGGAATTGTGCCCCATGTTTGCTGGCAGAAAGAAGTGAAAATGGGCTATGCATGGAACCCTCAGCTCAGTTTTCAGAAACTGGATGCATTTTTAATGCTGGAGACTGACAAGCAACAGCCTTGTATCTTTCAGGAATCAGGACTCCTCCTTGTGTACAGTTAGAGGAATGTGGGGTGAGTTGGGGACTGGTTTGTGAGGACTGAGGCACTGTGAGGTGGTCTGGATCCCAAGTACCAAGGCTTGACTCTGGTCAGGGTGGCAAGGGGTTGCAGAGTGCCCCGCCTCACCTGGGCTAAGGCAGCCCTATAAAGCAGGTCTTGTCTTCCCATCATGCACGTGGGGACTGAAGAATGGTTGCTCACTCAACTGGACTATAACCCGGGGTTGTCTGTATTCAAGAAAAGTGCTTTTCTGCCCTGCTTTAGGGACTGTCAATCTGAAGGAAACATGGTTTTGATGACTGAATGAGGGCATCTGAAAGGGCTTCAGAACCCCAACTGCCAGGAATCCATTTGGCAGAGGTGGAAGCAGCCTCACATGACAGGATGGCCCCATAAGAAGGCAGGCCAGTAGCCTCTCTGGGCCTTCACTGAGCACAGGGCCCAAGTGGAGCCAAGGATACAGCTTTTAAAAAATCAACAGGATCAGTAAAATCCAAGTGGATGATGAAGGGCATTGGTCAGCCCTTTAGCACCGGTCAGGGCACACTGGGGGTTGTGTCCTGGGTACACAGTTTACAAAGACATGGATAAAGATACAACTTGTTCAAAAGAAAGAAACAGTTAAGGGTCCTGAGGATGAAGAGCAAAATTCAAGATGGGAGCTGTTGGGTCAGCATTTATCTTCCAACATACGACGTTACAACTCATGAGATTCATGTGTGAAAAGGAGTCCCCTGTATTTGTGGGCCTAAAGGAGGGAACCAGTCTCTTTATTTATTTATTTATTTAATATATTTATGTATGCATATAAGAGCTGGGGTGTAGACCAGAGGTGGGAGGGGGTGGTGGTGCAAGAATTCACCAGAGAGTGGGAAGCAGAACAGGCAGATCTACTGAAATACACTGCTGAGGGGAGCAGCGGGCGAGTCAGGAGAGGTCTGCTGCGCCATGTAGGTCACCTCCCTGGCTGGGGATCGAACTCATGCTGCAGTAGCTGTGGATAGCTTCACAGTGTTGACTCTTAACCCCTTGCGCCATGAGGGAGGCCCCGAACAAGTCTCTTTAGTGGGAGCCATTGGGAATGAAGGTGAGGGGTTAAGAGCAGTGTGCTATTAGACCCTCCCAGCAGCATGAGCCCCTCTAGGGAGAGTGGCTCAAAGGCGCATGCAGGGTAGGCTTTTGTGATGAGGGTTCAATCTGTGAGGACCCCAAATCATGATTTCATGATGTGACCCAGAGTGGCCCAGGCCTTCCATTGCACATGCTCTTTCCCTGGATTGTTCTCCCTCTCAAGGGAAACAGATCCTCCTCTGGTAAGGATAGGCGTGGCCCCAGGTCTCCTGGGCCCATCTATGCCTGTGTGTGGAGCACGGTCCTCAGTGCTCCCAGACCACCGGATGCACAGCTGGCCCCGACCCTGGCCTCACCTTGGCCCATGCTTGGGCCTGAGCGTTCCTCTCTGAGGTGTGGCTTTCCTGTTGGCAGTCTCCTCCTTCCTCTCCCCCAGCTGCCGACGCAGGCCACTCCGGGACTCCCGGCCAGTGAACACATGAGGCGCCTGTTTGTTCAGATTCTTGTCACCTGGGACCCCTTCCCTGTGGCAGAGAGCCGGCGGGGGGAGGGAGGTTTGTATGTTGGTGCCAGTGCCTCAGTCTTTGACAATGCCATTTCTCTGTGTGCTGTGTCAGCAGCTTTGAACTTTGTGAATTTGACTCAGTCTGCAACAACCGCCCCCCGAAAATGGGAGGATCATGTTGTTGGGCAGTAAGAGCAGCCAGCACTCTTCAAGCCCAAATAACACTCCACAATCACTTGGAAATTTAATTTTTATTTTTGACAGTCTGATGAACATGGGAATTTAGAAGGTTTCCCTGGAGTCCTTGAGCTACCTTTATGCGTCAGAGGTGGCAGCAGGAAGACTGGGGAGAGGGCTGGGCCTGCAGTGAGAAGTTGCGCCCCAGGAACTGCATGCTGCATTGTGTCCCACCCAGGATGGGTGCAGGGGTCCCACCCAAGGACAGCTAGATGTGGTCTCCACCCCCAGCCCTTTCGGGTCAACATAGCAGGGTCAGCCCAGCATTGCTCTGTCTGGTTGTCCAGCTGGGAGGATCTTAGGACTAAAGGAACCCCCAATACCCTGTCCCCTGGCCATGGCCCCTCTGGACTAGAACTATCTGGTAACCAGATAGTTGATTCCTCTGTGGGAATGCTGGCGTAATCTTGGCACCACTCACAGTTTTGTTTCTAGCTTGAATTTTCTCAGCTCAGTTTTTCAGTTTTCTAATTATTTCAAACTTCCAGAAGAGTTAGAAGAACAGTACAAAGAACTCCCCTCCCCTGTGCCAGCCGCACTGATTGTATCATTTTTCTGTCTTTGCATGATCTTTGTCTTTTTTCCGCTCATCTGTACATGTGCACACACATCCAGAACAGTTTGAGGAGAAATTGCAGATACCCATCCTTTCATCCCTAAATCATTATATTTGCTAAGTATAAGGCCATGGCCTTCTTGATAATTACCAAGTTTAAGGAAACTTGTATTAATGTGATTCTTAATTTAATATGCAACCCTCATTAGTCATGGTGTCCTCAAACCATTTTTGTTGTTTGATTCAGGATTCAGTTGAGGGTCATGAGAAGTACTTGGTCACCTTATCTTTTCAGTTTCCTTCTCTTACCAGTTCCTTGGCTTTTGCTTGTCTTTCATGACCTTGACTTTTTTTTTTTTTCGATGGTGTAGACAGGTTTGAGTTGATGTTTCCTTGGGAATAAATTCAGGAATAGGTTCTGAGTTTCTGGTGAGAAAAAAAGTAACAGTGGAGCAGTGATGCTGTGTCCTTGGTGCCTCAGGTTGGGAGACACGTGATCTCCACTTGTCCCTTTATGGGTGCTGCTGGGTTTTTGATGAGCTAAAATTACAGAAATGAATTACTTATAACTTCTCTAAAGCCATGTGGAAGATATGCGCTAGGGCCTCCCCTGGTGGCGCAGGTTGAGCGCCACGCTGTGAAGCTGTCCGCAGCCTCTGCAGCGCCAATTCCATCCCGGCCGGCTGGCGAGGGTCCCACATAGCGCTGCAGACCTCTCCTGTCACGCCCGCTACTCCCCTCAGCAGTGTATTTCACCAGTCTGCCTGTTCTGTTCCCCGCTCTGTCTCTGATGAATCCTTTCACCCTCCTGCGCATCTGGCCTGTACTCTGGTTCTTGAGTAAATAAATAAATAAATCTTTAAAAAAAAAAAAAAAAGATATGCGCTCCTTGGAGATGGGTAGGAAGAGAATAAAAGGATTCTCCTCCCTTGTACCCTGCATGAGTTTTGTTTGCTAGGGCGCCTGCAATCTGAGTGGCTAAAACAACAGAAACCTATTTTCCCACAGTCCTGGAGGCTGGAAGTCCAAGATCAATGGGTTGGCAGGGTTGGTTTCTTCCGAGGCGTACGTCCCTGGCTTGCAGGTATCTACCATCTGCCTGTGTTCTCCTGTGCTCAGCCCTTCATGCGGGCCTGTTTCCTGCTCTCCTCTCCTTCTCAGAATACCAGTCATACTGGATGAGATGCTACCCTCCCTCTTATTTAACCCAGTGACCTCTTTGGGCTCTATCTCCAGATGCAGTCATATTCTTAGATATATGTGGGAAGGAGGGGGAAGCCTGAGGGTGGGGGTGTTGGGCTTCAGCCTATGAATTTTGGGGGATGAAATTCAATAACATCTTCTCAGAACTCTGCTCAGCCATCACCTCTTCAGAGAGGCTTTCCTGACCACATTTTCTTAAGCAGTCCTGTCACCCTCTGCCCCTGTTCAGCCCTCACCATCTGCTGTACTGCATGATTGTTCCTTCTTTACCAAGTATCTCCTGCCAGCCGGCAGCCCTGTGTCTGGATGCTTCACAGCTGTGGAACGGCCTAAAGCAGGGCCATCGTTTTGCTGGGAGGTGCTGAGTGACCGGTGGAGGAGGGAGGAGGGAGCAGAGAACACTCTGGGTTTGACTCTTGCTAATGATGAAGAACGTGGAATGAGCAGATGCAGTGCCTCCCTGGGGTGATCATCACAGTGGGGAGAGTGAGTCCCCTTGCAGCTGCTGTTCTTTCCCTGTGCATCCTCAGGCCCCCTAGGCAACCCCAAAGGGAGGGGCACCAGAGACCAGACACAACCAGTGGTGCTTACCTCACCCAGGGTTTGAAATTTTGATCTGAAGAAGCATAAAATTCATCATAAATGCAAGTGTGTAAAATAAAATTTAGATTCAACACAGAGCAAGTGTCAGGATCAGCATAAGCCTAGGCCTCCAACTGTGGGCCAGCTGCAATGGGAGACCACGAGTGGCCCACCAGGCCTGGGTTTGCTGGTGCAAGATGAGAGCTGGTTTCTCCTTGGCTGCCTAGGGCCTAAGGGTAGTGGTGGCAGCACACACACCCCATGCAAGTTTTCACTCAGTTGGGTATCTGAGCAGGAGGCTGAGTAAGGAGACCATCTGTAATTCTCTTTGATTGCATGAAGGACAAGGAAAATGTTTCTTACTATAAACTAACAACAAGTGGGACTTCTGCCAGTGTGCAGTGTGACCCCTGGGCCCCCCTCACCAAGTCTGGACTAATGTCTGGGCAGCAGGAGCCCCTCACCTCCATGGGCATCTAGTCTGCATGATCCTTATGTGTCTGAGGGATTGGACACGAGCGAGCACAGCAGCCACCACGGGCTGGGGGCCAGCCTCCTTAGCCACTGTGGTCTCTGCAGCTGGAATGAGAAACGGAATGAGAAGGTGCCACTCAGTAACACCTTCGTAGAGGGGCTTGTTGGTATCCACTGGCAACCTGGAACCTTAGTTGCTGGTGGCACCATTTAAAGGAATTGGGTGGGAGGAATAAGCAGCTATGGAAGGGAATTGTAACCTGCCCGGGGCCATGAGTCATTTCTCACTGTCGCTTTAGGAGATGGAAGTGTGCGCTGTGTGTGGGGGGCGGGGAAGCAGGTGGGAGGCAGCATCATGCAGGAGCTGAGCTTCCTGCAGTTCTGCGTTATCTCTACACCTGGAAATTCTCCAGAACTGTGCCCAGGTGTCTCTCAGAAGTATGGGGAGCCACGGCACCTGTCCCACACCTGTCGTGCACCTGTCCCACTCTCTTCTTTTCTCCTTGCAGGCCAGCCAGCTGGGTGTATACCGGGCCTTTGTAGACAACTATGGAGTTGCCATGGAAACAGCTGAGAAGTGCTGTCAGGCCAACGCTCAGTTTGCAGAAATCTCTGAGGTATACATGATGCTGCGCAGACAGGTGCACCCCTCCACCTCCCACAGGAGGGGTGTGGGCTGGTTGTTGGTACATCAGGACTCAGGAGAACAAGGTGCACCAAACAGGTCCAGTCATAAAATTCAGCTCCATTTCCAGATGCCTCTGGGCTGTCTCTGTCAGCCCAGTGTAGGGGATGCTACAAAAGGAGCAGTCTGAGAAGTGTCCTGTAGTGGGAATCCCATATCTCCAAGGGCATCTAGACTGCATGTTCCTTATGTGGTTCTGGCCAGTCTGGGGGAAGCTGGAGCTCAGCCAGGTCTTCTGATGTTTTCTTGCACCATCTCCAGGCAGTGAGGCATCTACATGTTTTGCCCCATTAGCAGAGGTCTTGACATGAGAATGCTGAGAATGACTTTGCACCTTGTCACTGGAGAGCATGGGGACGGGGAGGAGGTGTCTGTCACACTGTTTCTCCTCTAACCTGCCAGCCGTCCTGAGAGCTGGGGAAGCTGAGCAGCTCGCACAGGGCCAGCACTGTGTACTATGCTCCGTAGATCCATGTGAGAGAAGTGCTCCAGCCTGGGAGTGTTAGCATGAGGGTCTCAAAAGAAACCCTCAGATACAGAGAGGACAAGTAGGCCATGGGGAATGGACTGGTGGCAGTTGGGGTACATTTTCCTCTTTTGGGCCTTATAATTACTTTTGCCTTTTGATGTCTCCAACTTTACAGAGCTCCAACTTTGCCTTCCACACCACACAAGGATTCTGGGTGGAAAGACCTCTATCCGAGAAAGGCAGCATTATTAGTGAGAGACACAGGGACGAGACATAGTCTCCATAGCGGGCTGTTGGGTACCACCTGCTGGGAGATAGTCACACCTGAGTATCACATTTGGCTTTGTTCCAAGGGCTCTGTGCCCTTCAATAGTTTATCATGCAACCATGTGGGTCTTAGTACTGATTGTCTCCCAGGTGACAGCACATGTCTCTGGAGCCAGTGGGGCACCCTGCTCCCTTCCTGGTGCTGCTAGGAACAGGCTACTAGCACCCAAGGCTCCATGCTGACTTGACTAACCTTGTTTTCCTAGAGTGTTCAGTCCATTCCTTGCTTTAGCTCATTTGGTTAGTATACCCCCACAAATCAATAGCTGCAGTGGAGAATCCTGAGTGGCCTTGAGAAATAGAGACCTCATCAATCCTTTAAGAGGAGGCTTGAGTTCAAGTCTACCCAGGTAGGTTTCTGCAGAGGAGGGAGGAACCACTAGCCACCTGGTCCCATCCACCCAGACAAGTAGGTATCCCAGCCATGGCCAGTTGCAGGGATTGGGATGGCATCTTGCCAGCCCAAGACAGTCCTCTGTGAAACTTGTTCTGCCAGGTGACAGCCACTTTGATTCTCCACTCATGTTTCCAAAAAGATTCAAGTCACTAAGGCAGAGCAAAGTGAAGCTAGAGCAAAAGGAAGCAGCAGGCCTTGTAGAGGTGTTGGGGTGTCTTTGAAGGGGGAAGGGGGGGAATAGGGAGGTTAGAGCTCAACATGGGGACTGGATTTGGCCCAAGGAGAGGGAGAATGGTGTCTTCAGGCTTCTGCCAGGCCCTGCCCTCTTCTCCCAGGACTAAGTCTAAGAAAGAGCTTGCAGCAGTGTCCCATTTAATTGAAGTTGTCCAGGCTGGGTTCTGCAGAATGCTAGCACCCCAAATGATAGATAATAGGTATTATATGAAGAGGATTCCTGGAGTCAAGTCAATTTTGGAAACATGGGGTTAAACCAAATGTATGTTTCCTTGAGGCAGGACTTCTTGAAGCTCCTGGCATTGTGCTGTCCAGGGACACATGGCACATGGGGCACTTGGCATATGGGCTGTCCCCAGGGCTCACGTGAGCACAATGCCTGAATTTTGTAGTCTTGTGTTTACCTCTCACACCCCCTCGCATCCTCTCACACCCTTTGGAGCTGTTGAGGCAGATATAAGGAAGAACAACCTCTGTGAGGGTTGTTCAACTCTCAGGAAAGGTACCGAAGTGCAGTGGCCCCAGTGAGCTAAAACACCATCTTTTTTAATCTTGAAAGGTTTCTGCAGCGTGAAAGGTTACAGAAGTGATCCTGGGGCCCCTTCCCGTCTATGAGCTGGTTTGTGTTCAGATACCTGGTACCAGGGTCAGTCACAGCTGTTTTCCAAAGATGGTTCCAGGCACTCAGAGTCCTTTATTCTTGTTTCTTTTTGTCCTTTGGACCAAATCAGTGAAACTGACTACTCATTAAAAACTACTCTTGTCTGGGGAATCCTAGTGCCCCTTTATTAGAAAATACATTTGGAAAGTTGGAGAGGGTGGGGTGGAAATGAAATCCTCTTTAGGTCTCAGTAGCGGTGGCCCACCCTGGCCATCTCCACAGGTGAGTGCTCTTCTCCCCTGCCCAGGCCCCTGCATGCTGTTCACTCGTTCCAAAAAAGCAGTTTCTTGACTTTAGGATGGGTGGAATCGTATGCAGATTCTTTATACCACAAGCTCTCAACCAGTGATTTTACCCCCAAAAAACACTTGGCAGTGCCTGGGGACATTTTGATTGTCTTACAGAGGGGGGATTTGCCACTGCACCTATAGGCAGAGGCCAGGGGTGCTGCTTTAATATGCTGTGGTGCACAGGACAGACCCCCCCACCCCCATCCGCAATAAGAGAATGTCTGCCCCAGATGGAAACAATTAAGATACTGTCCCCAGTGAACCGTGGCATCCACGTTAAGCCATGTGTTGCTGTGGCCCAGTCCTGATTTTTCCTGCATCTGACATTCTGTGAAGTGAGAGAGGGGTGTTTTCTGTTGGAGTTCTCTGATCAGAGAGCTTTCTGCAACATCAACGCTATTGTAGTAGTCCTCTGCACAAAAGTGTCTTTCTCTTTGCAGAACCTGAGAGCAAGAAGCAATAAGGATGCCAAGGACCAAACCACCAAGAACTCTTTGGAAAGTGAGTTCTCTGTACTGCCGCCTTCATGCCCCTGTGTGGGTGACCGCTGCAAATAGGCATGGCATTTGCTGGAAAAGTAAACACCACACCCAGTCGGGTGACCCTCTGGTGTTTCTGTTGCTGCAGGTTTCCATTCATGAGAGTGGGGACAAGGACATTGCAGGTGGAAAAGGATGTGTTCAGACCAGCTTGCCTCCAATAGCAGCACCGGAGGAATGATAGGCATTAGCAGGGCCCACAAACTAGGCAATGCCAGGCACATAGAATGTTGTGTTCTTTCCAGAGGCCCTGTATGAATTTTGTTTTCCCTTTCTTTAGATGAAAGAACAGGTCTAGAATGGAAGTAACTCTGTAGAACACAATTCTGGAGTGGCCAAGCAAAGAAGCTGAGGTTGTCAGGTTCCTGGGTCTATCCTCACCCCCTTCATTCTCGGTAGAAAGTGAGATCAGGAACATTAAGTCCCTTCTCACTTCTGGTTGTTAGAATAGAGTGGGCAGTGACACAGAGCAACAGATGTGGCTGCACCTCAGTTTCCCCATCTGTAAATGGAGATACCAGTGCCTTCACTAGGTGAGGAAATGCACTGACAGTGTCAGAGTGTCTAAGCATCTCTGCCCGTGATGGACTCGGCTCACCAGCCTCAGGGAGAAGTGGGCTGGCCAAGGCTGCCTGGTCCCTGTGTGCTGCTGGGGTCCAGGTGTCCTTAAAGCCAAGATTCCTTAAAGATACCTTAAATCCGAGAGCTGGGTTACCACCTGAGTTGGTTCCTGCTGCTTTCAGAATCAGACCTCCAAATTGTCCAGGGGTGGATGTTGAGAGAAGCATGCTGCTTGGCTCCCGGGGGACCCTCTGGGCTGGAGAACAGGTCTCCTGCCAGGGTTAAGACCTCTGCCTCTCCTCACCAGGGTGCAGGTGGGCTCCTCACTCCAGGGGGGAAGGGCATCAATGCTGAGCCCTTTTGGCACCTCTCTCGGGTCAGCCAGGCAGGTGCGGGTTCCGGCCAGCAGCTCTGGGTCCAGCATTTAATGTCACAGGCTGAAAGCTTAAGGCAGAGTGTCTAGCATTGCAGGCGCTCTGGGCTTGCCCTTACCATGGAGTTCTTACTGGGAAGTATGGAGGTTGGGGGTGCTGCCTGCCAACCCCAGCCCTTGTTGGGCAGCCTGCTTTCTCCGTGGGCTCATCGCTCATCCTGCCCGTCTCTCCGCAGCCCTGCTCTACAAGCCTGTGGACCGAGTGACGCGCAGCACGCTGGTCCTGCATGTGAGTCGCTCCATCCTTGACCGCCCTAGAGCATGGCAGTGCCTCCTGTGGTGGCGTGGGCACCGTCCCTGCCCACAGCCGGGTCTTCTCACTCTTAGGTTCTTGTTTGTGTTGTCCTGGGATTGACACTGACAGTGTCATTTTGCCCACTTGCTCCCTTTCCTGCCGTGCACCTTTATTGATGATGAAGAAGTGAGCAGCCTCTGCCATCCATGGGCTCTCGAGTAGGGGGAGAGGGGTGGAGCTGACTCTCCAGGTGTCCCAGGTGCTCTTGTTGGGGCAGACGTCGGAAGGGAGCCGCTGAACAAGGTTGTCTTACTACTGAGAAACAAAATCAGAGAACAGAAACCTGGTCCAACTGCCAGGGTGACCGTGTTTAGATAATTTTAGAGCAGGTGGCGCACGCTTTTTTTTTTTTTTTTTTAATTTACAACTAATTCATAGAAGTGTGTGAAATTTCCCTTTTGTTTCCCACTTCCTCCCCACAAAGGCTCCCACCACCACAAGATTCTCTGTGCACATGCTGATACACACAAACCTTTTTCTAAAAATACACAGAAGGTGTTATGCTGTAAACGTTTCCACACTGTGCTTTTTCTCCCCCCTTTAACGTTATATTGTGGAGATGGTTTCATTTTGATCCATACAGTTCTGCCTTGTTCTTTTTAAAGTTACATGACGTTATAGTTTCTCATTTTCCTCTATTTAAAGAGGCAGATCTAGTGGGTGACCCAGTGTACCTTTGAAACCCCTTATTCAGTGTGCGCGCCGTGGTAGCCCAGCCACAGCCAGCGTCATGGCGGGGCCGAGCCAGAGCCCCTGTATCTCATCTACACAAGAACCTTCCTTTGCTGCTATCTCATCTCTCCAGGTTCTCTTTGCAGACAGGTTTTGGGAGCAAAGAGGATTTTGCATCTCTGTTGACCTTGAGCACAGATTACGTGCATATTCCTAGTGGAGAATGAGTCAATATTCCCATCTTGATCTGAAGAGGTTTAGACTTTTATCTAAAGCATGAGGAACTCAGAAGGCCCAGGGCTCTCTCCTGACCCTGCATAAGACAGTGCTCCTGGACTTGAAGCAACTCTGCCCCCTAGGGGACATGAGGCAGTGTCTGGGAGACATTTTTTGTTACAACTTCAGACCAGGCGGTGCAGCTGGCTTGTAATGGGTAGTGGCCAGTGTGGTGCTAAGCATCCTACAGTTCATAGGGCAGTCCCCTGCTGTAAGGGTTCTCCAGCCCGGAATGTCCCCAGTGGCCAGGTAGAGAAACCCAATCCTAGACCCTTAGAGTGGGAGCCCCTCTTAGCAGCACGCAAGCGGAATGGACTTGTGGAAGTGCTGTTTAGGATCCTGCTTCCAAATGGTGCGCCTGCGAGCACACAGGCCCAGCCCAGGTTCATGGTGAGAGGCGGCGGTGACACCGTTGGGTTACACCCGGGGTGTGTCTGCGGTTTGCTTGCAGTGCACTTGCTAACCTGTCCTTCACCCAATGCAGGACTTGCTGAAGCACACCCCCTCCAGCCACCCTGACCACCCTTTGCTGCAGGATGCCCTCCGCATCTCTCAGAACTTCCTGTCGAGTATCAATGAGGAGATTACACCCCGCCGGCAGTCTATGACTGTGAAAAAAGGAGAGGTGAGTATGACTGGTCTGACTTTGCCCACCCTGCCAGGTGGAGGGACACAGGGCACCTCTCTGGTCCTCAGCAGACTGTGCCTGGACAGTCCAGCCTAATGCAAAAAACTTATTGCCCTTTGGGGCCCCTGACACCAGCATGTGAAAGCCAGGCCTGTGTACCAGACTCAGGTGGAGTTGCCGGGCGTGTCTCACTTGGCTCCCTTTCTTTTGTCTGTTGTAGGGTGTTAGGTCCAGGGCACTCCTTTTTCCCCTATACCCTTTTCAGCTCAGGGGGACTCCTCTGGGGAGACTAGTGAGCATGAGGATGAAATTTTGTCTTCCTAGAACCACCAATTTCCCCCTGACTGTTATTTCATTGAAAACAGTTAATACTGAATTTAAAGACTTAAAAGGGGGAGGAGAAGCAGGGGTGTGCAGTTTGTATTTATGAAATGAGAATGGCTGAAGATTCCGCCAGGAAGGTTCTCTTTTCCCCTTCTCCCTCTGTCATGGACAGCCACCCCAGTCTTCATGTCCCTGCATACCACCAGTAAGAGGCAAACATAAAGGGTGCCCTGAGCCTCTGTCTCTTCCTTGGAGGGGTACAGGGTGGTGATAGGAAGGTGCCTCACTGCCAGACAGATGTGGTGAGATGGCAGAGGTGTGTGCAAGTTGGGGAGCTGGCATCCATCATGAGCATCCTCTGTCAGAAGTGCCACCAACATGGGGCGAGCTGATCCTCGGTGTTGGGGTCTTGTGCAAAGACAGTTGCTGTATGGACCAGGCAGGACACAGCTGGCAGTGAACCTGACCTTTGTGGCTTCTGATAGCTACTTTCCTCTGGTTCATGTGCCAGGTCCCGGGTGCTGAGTTCTGGCCCACCCTGCTGCCCTGCACTTGGCCCCGTCCCCCACACACCTCTTTGGGACCTGGTACTCTGAGTGCTGAGTGGAAAGCTCCCACACGCCCAGAGTCTCATCGGACTTGACTGTACTGCGAGTAAGGGCCTTGCTCAAGTTTCTCCTGGTGGGCCTGGCCTAGGGAGGGCTATAGAGGAGCTGTCCCTTCTTTTTATTCCCAGCCCTATCGAGGTCCTGGATCCAGGCTGGCATAGGGATCACATCCCAGTGTTCCTGCAGATTCACCCACTGGGTAGACTGGAATGTGTATACCACTCCTCCCCAGGCTGTTCTTTTCTTTACCAGCGGGTGGGAATAGGGGCCACTGTTCTGGGTGCCTGGTCACCTGGTGGACCACGGGTTATGGAAAGAACTCCACCACTCAGCTCCACAGCAATCCTGGCCACGTGCTAGCTCCTCTGAGCCCATCAAAGCAAGGGGTGAGTCCCTAGCACCTCCTGGGAATCTCTACCCATTATCCTTGGGGGCTGTGGGAGCCAGATCTCATTTCCTACAACAAATGGGAGCCTCTCCCCCAAACTTCCCCCAGAGCTCACCTTTCTAAGCAGAGGTAGGATCTGCTTCTGCCAGGACTCCTTATAGCAGGTGGGTTCATGCCTGGCTTGCTCTTCTCTCCTGGGATGCCTGCTCTTTCTCTTGCTGATGCTTCTTTTATGAGAACACTGACCTCCTGGGAAGCAAATGTGCAAGTCCATTTGCACCTGGGCCCTTCATGTGGTGCTGAGTCTTTCTTCGTATCTCTAACTGTCATTTAGGATCTCTGGTGAGAAAGGCCTTCTTGTTCCTTGGATCATTGGAGGCAGTTGCCTTAGGGAATTGAGGAAAATCACGTTGCCTATGAGTTGGTAACCCAGCCCTTGTCCCTGGGTCTGCTGTCAGAGGTCTCCTGTACCCACAGCCTTAGGTGACTGAGCAGGACTTGTGTTGGGCCTGAATGCTTGGTGAAGGATAAAACACAGATTGTTTTTATCTGTGTCCACTCTCTCGCACTCCCCTCCGCTGTTGACTTAAGCAATATTTGCTCAGTGAGGAGGATCACTTGGGCATTCCAATTGTGAAAAGGGGTAGGAGGGCTAGTGGCCTCTGAAATCTTATGGAGGGGCCTCCCCGGTGGCGCAGTGGTTGAGCGCTGCATTGCGAGGCTGCCCGCAGCCTCTGCAGCACCGGTTCAATCCCTGGCTGCTCCCCGGCCACCGGAGGAGGGTCCCACATGGCACGCAGACCTCTCCTGCCGCCCTCTGCTCCCCTCAGCAGTGTACTTCAGTCTGCCTGCTCTGCTCCCCGCTCTGGCTCTGGTGAATTCTCTCACCCTCCCACGCTTCTGACTGTGTCCAGTGCTTGTATAAATAAATAAAAATAAATCTTAAAAAAAAAAAAAAAAAAGCTTATGGGTCTGACCAGCACTGACCTCCATCCAGCGCTTTTTGGTAAAGGTAGATGACTTGATGGTGGCTAAACCAGTGACAGACAGGCTCACACCCTGGCCTGCAGCCATTCCTGGGCACACAGCATCAATCAGTCAGCAGCCTGAATTTCCTTCCATGTAGCCCTCTGTGCTGCCCAGACCAGTGTGCAGTCCCTGGTGCCATAGAAAGGAAGCTTGACGGTACCCTGGCCGGTTTGGGATGTCCACTGCTTACCAGCAATATTGATGTGGAAACACCTTCTTTGCTGAGTGTCCATACTCTGTGAGAGCAGTGACCAGGGTCCCTGTCCCCTCTTTGGGGTGGTTGTGAGGCTGAAAAGGTTTCACCACCTGCGAAAGACTTTATGAAGTTGGGAGTAGGGTGGGATGTGGTGTGAGTGTGTGTGGGTGTGAGATGCCTTCCCCAGTGGGCACCGTCTGTGTTGGTGGTGCTGGAAGAGCCCTTCTGCATCACCAGCTGGGAGCGAATCTGCAGGTCCTTCTAGAATTTCTACTGGGGAGGGTTTGAGCTTGGAGAATACCTATTTTTCCCCCACCTCCACATTTGGCCTATGACATTGAATATCAAGTTTCCAAAGGGAGGAAAGAACTGCTTCTGAGTTCTCATGACAACCCTGTGAGGTAAGAGGTATCCTCCCATTTGGTGGGGATACCTCCAACCTTTAATAGTGCGCATCTTCCAGATTAGTCTTCTTGGGGTGAGGGGATGGCCTATATGTGTGGACAGGATGATGTTGCCTAAGTGACAGCTGGAGAAGGCCAGCAACCTAGGGAAGGACCACTCATCAGAAGACTGTGGACACATGGTGTGACCTTGTTGGCTTTCAGTGTTCTTGTTTGTAGAAAGGGGGATGACAATGTCTTAATAGCTGAGTCTTCATGAGGAGTAAGAGACATAAGATGGACAAGCTAAATGTGTGGCCTGTACTCACAGAGGACTCAGTAAGTGGTAGCAGATGGCCCTATGTGTGACCCATTATACCCAGTATGCCTCTAGACAGGTCTTTTTCATCCCCATCCTATCTTTAAGGAAACTGAGACTCAGAGAAATGTGGTAACTGAACCAGATCATCACAGTGGAGAAAGAAAGGTGGGCATGGGCAGTGAAGGTGCAAGAAGGCCCTTGACACCTCATTTCCTAGGGGATACTTATCAGGGTACTGTTATTTGAGGATGAAGTGGTGTCTCTTCCAGCAGGTGTTCTCCACCTAGGATGTGGGGGGGGGGGCTCCCCAAGTGGTACCATCCCACCACCTGATATCTTCTATCTCACAATACATAGAGGACACACACAAACATACACACATAGGGGGATGTACGTGGGGACACACACAGGAACACAGGCAGGGGTTCACAGGGATACACACAGATGCAGGGACATGAGCCCAAACACCAGCAGAGACATCCAGAGTCATATCTGCCTTCACAGGGACACACACACTTGGGGACACATATACAGAAACAGAAACACAAGACTCTGACTTGCATGCCCATACTTCTGCAGTCCCAGTGAACCGACTCCTCTGATTGCTGTCTCACAGACCCTCTAGAAATTGTGGCGGTGCTGTCCCTGTTCTGAGATCAGCAGGGCCCAGCCCTGCTCCACCTCCACGCAGGGGTGTTTGCTTTGGGTGAGATGCTGAGTCAGAGGGACACGCCTTTCTGAGCATGTGCACTCACACCATGTTTAGGCCACAGCCTAGGTGTGGGGGACTGTGACCCAACCTTATCCTGTCTGCATCCCCAGCACTACACAGCACCATCCAGAGGAGATACCAGGCATTGTTTGTTGCATGAATTGCTGGTTTATTTCATGTGCCTATTTGGTGACCCCTGGAGGTGTGAGAGCCAGAGAGACCTTGTCTTTTCAGATGAGCACCAGTTGGAGAGAGGTGCAGGGCTTGCTAGGAGCTAGTGCCTCCTGTTCCCTTGGACATTCTAGGTCTGAAGAGTTCTAAGAAGGCTGCTTTGGGGTCAACTTGTCAACCTGAGCTGCCCATCTCAGGCTGCCCAACTGAGGGCCTCCCTGCCTCCTCCTGCCCTCAGTACCAGGCCTGGTCTTTGCCATGACCACCAGGACTGCCTCCTCCTTGCAGTGTTTCTGGCTCATCTCTTCCCCACTCAGCACACTGCTTCTCCCATGTGCAGAGGAGTGTCAAACTCTTCTCACTGTGGGCCTGCTCTGTGGTGCTGCCTCTGTGGGAATGTCCCGTCCTACACATGGCTGACTTCTTGCTCATGGTCTCCAGTTACTGTCCTGGAGAGGCGTGGGCCTCTGCTTAGAGGTTCTCCCATTATCATGTACACACAGACAGTGACTTGGCTGTACCATGCCCCTCCCTGCATCCAGTCCAGTGGCCATTACACATCGTCCACTCACCCTTCCCCTCTTCTATGAACCAATCACTCAAACACTCCTGGCTGCTGTCAGATCCCTTGAGGCCTTGGGATGAAACTATTGCACAGACAGCAATCAGAAGAGTCGGTTCACTGGGACTGCAGAAGTATGGGCATGCAAGTCAGAGTCTTGTGTTTCTGTTTCTGTATATGTGTCCCCAAGTGTGTGTGTCCCTGTGAAGGCAGATATGACTCTGGATGTCTCTGCATAGCATATATTTTCACCGGGCCTATGTAGAGAACACTGTGGAAAGTAGGTCTGAGTTCTGAGGGTTGAATGTGGGGGAGTAAAGGCTGACCACCCGCCTTGCTAGCCATAGACTAACTTGAGCACCCACCCTGCTCCCCCAGCACCGGCAGCTGCTGAAGGACAGCTTCATGGTGGAACTCGTGGAGGGGGCCCGCAAGCTGCGCCACGTCTTCCTCTTCACTGACCTGCTCCTGTGTACCAAGCTCAAGAAGCAGAGTGGAGGGTGAGTGACCATGGGCAGCCACGTGTCCTTGCCCCTCCAGGAGGGAATGGGCTTTCTAGGGGGTATGGGGTTGGTTTTGATATGGAGGAAAACCTAGTTCGGTAGCTGTGTGGCTGGATGGCTCTCTTTAGGCTGTATTCTGTTTCCAACTGAATGTGATGTCAAGCTCAAGGTTAGTGGTGATTGCTGACAATCTAGAGGTTAGATTGCTCAAGGTTAGATTGCTGACAATCTAGAGGTGTCCTGGGTCAGGGTTGGTTATTGGACTGTTGATTCTTTCAGAGAAGGGGGATACACACATGTTGGGGGACTGTCATATTGTGACCCAGAAGGGAGGAGTGAGTGACAGGTCAGGGGGCTGTGGGTTTGGCCAGTTGTGGGTTGGTGCAGGCCAGGGTTTGACCCCTTTGCCACCCCCTGTACAACCCCCTTGACAAATGTCATTTGATTATCACTATTGATGGTTTCTAATTTATTCTCAGCATTGAGCTGCAAACCTCACCCGCAGCCCCCAGGGATCAGACCACCCAAACTGCATGGGCTGGATTGAAGGAAAGATCACTTTGGGAAGGGCCAGCACTGACTCCTCTCATTTTGCCAGTGCCATGCTGAACAGATTTAATCAGAAGAGAAAGAGCCTCACTTTCCCTGTCTGTCAGAGGATGGGTTACACTGGATATGCATACCCTCAAACTCTGCAGTCTCTCTTTCCATTGGGCACAGCTTCCCACATCAGGAAACCTGTGAGTTGCTGGCAGTGCAGAAAAGACGCATCAGGATTTGTCAGACCCCTTGAGGCCTTGGTTATGGATGTGGAATGTCTGTTCCCAGGGGTTACTTGGCTGGGGTCTCCAGTGTCTGCCAGTAGCCTGCACGGTACTGTTGTGTGGATCACAGCTGGGTTTTAAGGCTGGGTAAACTGTACATGGCCATGAACTTAGAGTTCACTGGCACTTGAAAGCAGTGACATTAGCAAAGGAGGCTTGTTTTAATGTGCTCGCTCCCCCACCCAGCAAAACCCAACAATATGACTGCAAATGGTACATCCCGCTCACGGATCTCAGCTTCCAGACACTGGATGAGTCAGAAGTGGCACCCAACATCCCTCTGGTGCTGGATGAGGAGCTGGATGCCATGAAGATCAAGATCTCTCAGATCAAGAATGACATCCAGAGAGAGAAGGTGGGGCCTGCTGGGTGGGCCTGAGCCGGGCTATGCAGCTCACGTGGCAGTTCCTCACACTTGACCATGCATCAGCTCTTCTGGGCCTCTGACCCACTTGGTGTCTGGGGCCCCTGTGAGCCCATGCAGAACTGTTAGTTTTGGAGCCATCCAGATGTGGGCTGGGGAAGGCGCCTGCTGTCCACATACGGACAGTGTGTCCTGGGAGGATCAGAAGACTGGGCAGTTAGGATGAGCCCCTTGTATGGAGGGTTGGCCCAGCCAGAGCAGGTACCATGTGGTAGCCACACACAAGGTGGGTCCCAAGAAAGTTGGGCCTCAGCCTGGGGACACCTGGCTGAGGTGGACCAGTAGGACAAGGGTGATCGGCCCTTCACCCACCTGCCCATCCTGCTGCACCACAAGCCAGTCGGTTGAGGAAAGTGTGGGAGTCCCAAGACCACCATGAACTCTAGGCCTGTGGCCTGTGGGGTAGTGTCCCGAGGCAGAGGGGAAGCCAGGGCTGTGTCGGTGGGGCACCACTGCTCTCTTCCACGTTCTGCCCCTCCTAGCTGCTGAAGGCATGCCACCTCCCTAGGGTGGAGGGGCTTCAGCGGGGAGTTACAGGGCACAGGGAAGGCAGGGTTTCCTGACGAGATGCCTGCATCTGGCTTCCAGTGGGACCCTCTGTGGGCCTGATGCTGAAATGGCTCAGAGCCAGAAATGGGGAAGGGCCTGTGGTGGTCACAGCAGCTTCCCAGACATTGTCCGAGTTTGGAGAAACAGAAGGAAGGGAGGTTTGTAAAGGGCCCACAGGACAGGAAGGACTTAACTCCTTTGAGAAAGCCTTAGCGAACACGTCTGGCAACCTGTGCCTGTGTGCCTGAAAGACCAGCACAGACAGGCTGAAGCCATGCACCATGCTCAGCTCCGGACATGGCTCTTGCCCTCAAGACCAATTTGGGGGTGGTGGGAACAGGCAACACCGGATCCCAGGATGGGAATATGACTGAGGCTTGGTCTTTCCTTTCAGAAAGCCAACAAGGGCAGCAAGGCCATCGAGAGGCTGAAGAAGAAACTCTCGGAGCAGGAGTCGCTGCTCCTGCTCATGTCTCCCAGCATGGCCTTCAGAGTGCACAGCCGCAATGGCAAGGTGAGTGCCTGCTCCCGCCTTGCTCAGCTGGCTGGGCCTCCCTCTGCTCCCCCAGGCAGACCCTGCTGACCATGGCCTCCATGGTCTGGCCCCACTGTGGCTGCAGAGGCCTTGGCTGCCATGTGGCCTTTGTGGTAGCAACCCTTCTCTGGGGAGCAATCCTATACCAACAGAGGCTGGTCCAGTGAGATCTGGCAGCCATGTGTCCCTCCTACTGCAGCATTGGGTTGTAGCCCCAGGTTGAGTGGCTTGACCCCACAGCTGGGAGTAGCAGAGTCTCTAGGGATCCTGAACAAGAAGAGTATCTCAGGTTTGTGCAGACCAGACTCGTGGCCATGGATGTTGTTCGGGAACATTGAGGCTCCTCTGTCCTCAGTCTGCTCCAGATGCTGTCTGTAGCCTGGGCCTCTCCAGCCTGGGTGCCGCACACATCTGTCAGCATGCAATCAGGAGAGGGTGCCCTGCACTCCTGGAGCCTTGTCTGGGGTCACAGCTCAGGCTTGTGAGTCAATGCAAGACATCAGGGCAACTTCAGCCTTCACCTCCTCCATGCACCTACGGTAGGACACGTATGCCCTGATCTAGGCCCTCCTGGCAGGGCTTGTAAAGGTGGGTCTGCACAGGGCAGAGCAGGCAGCAGGGTGGAGAGAGCTGGAAGCCACAGCCAGCCTGTGAGCATGCCTGGTCACCAGGCTGTGGTGGCTGGGGGAGGCCTGCAGGTCACCCTGTGGACAGCACGGGGCAGTGCCTTAGGTGGGGTAGAGATAACGGGGTGTGTTCTCCTCACATCCAGAGTTATACATTTCTGATTTCATCTGACTATGAGCGTGCTGAGTGGAGGGAGAACATCCGAGAGCAGCAGAAGAAATGTAAGTGGCCTCCACATGGAGACTGGTACTGGAGCTTTTGGGACTGGGGCGTCACCAACTCCTGTGGTTACAGTCCTTTTTCATTCTAAGAGGCTGGGCAGAACTCTTTTATCCAAGTGTAGTGTTACTTGAAGCTCTAATTTGCAAAATAGATTAGAGAGGAGGGGCCTCTCTGGTGTCGCAAGGGGTTAAGACACAGCCTATGAGGCTATCTGCAGCCACTGCAGCACAAGTTCGATCCCTGGCCAGGGAGCTACCCACATGGCGCAGCAGACCTCTCCTGACTCGCCCGCTGCTCCCCTCAGCAGTGTATTTCGGACACTGCCTGTTCTGTTCCCCACTCTGTTTCTGGTGAATCCTCTTACCCTCTGCACCTCTGGCCGGTGCCTCAGCTCTTATATGCACAAATAAATAAATCTTTAAAAAATAAATAAGTAGAGAGGAACTGTCCTGACAGGGCCCCTTCCCTGACAGGTCTCCTGTACCTTTCACCTGCTCTCTGACTTCCTCTGTGCACCACTGGCCTTCCTTGAATCTCCCTTCTGTCTCCTGGACCTTCTTATTCTGATGCTACCTCCTCCTGGACCTGCCACACACCATAGCAAACCCCCTTATTTGCCTTCCAAGCCTATACCTGCACTTCCCTGTACCCCAATAGGTGCAGATGCCAAAGAGGCTGGGCCTGCCTGGGCCCCACTCCCCTGTCCTAGAGGCTAGTCTTGACCGTCCTCCAGAGGGGCACGCTCGCTTCTCTTGCATAGCTTCTCTCACAGAGGGTGCGTCCTTCTGCGGGTACTTATTTCCTGTCCTGTACTGAGAGGTGCCCCTCTGGCAGCCTTCACAGTGAGAAGTCAAGTCCTGGGCTGTAACCACCTTTCCCTCTCCACCCCTTGGGGTATGGTTTGGGATTCCTGAGCCATCTTTGCTAAGCACCATACCATGGTGACCTGGTCCTCCCACAGCCATGGACCATTTTGGTCTGACAGACTCGGGCTGGGGACTCCATACACTTGGGCCTGTGTTGAGCACCCTTCCCTTCAGCCTTGTCATTGTGCCCAAGTTGAGTCTCATCTTCCCCGGCAGGGCCCCCTAGACCAGACTGTTCTAGGGGAAGAGGCGTCCTGGCAGCTCTGGTGGCTGGTGCATGCAACCCAGGATTTTCTGTTTGCAGCATCTGGGTCCTGTCAGTGCTATACCCAAAAACAGCCCCTTTCTCTCATCTGGTGGAGGGATAAGGCCTAAGTTAGAGTGCCGGACAGCTATCCTGGGTGTCTGTCTGGGGAGACCCCCAGGAAGATTGCTTGTGGCACTGCTGAGTGGCAGGTGGATTCCCGGTCTGTAGGATTATGCTGAGTCCTCCAGCCCTTGGAGTCCAGCCTGGGCCCTCTGGGCCACACCTTGCTCTGCTACTTACCAGCTCCTCCATGGGAGCAGGCCACAGGAGTGGTGAGGGTCTAGTGGGGGAATGAGAACATGCCCTAGGTGTCCTGGAATGTCCGAGCTACCCTCAGACTGACTGGTTGGTGCACCTGTGTTTCTTTCTCAGGTTTCAAAAGCTTCTCCCTGACGTCGGTAGAGCTGCAGATGCTGACCAACTCATGTGTCAAACTTCAGACCGTCCACAGCATTCCACTAACCATCAACAAAGAAGGTAGGCACCCCTAACAGTGAGGACTGCCCTCCATTTCTGCTGGTACCATTGTCTTAGGGACTACTGGATGTCCACTTGAAGGAATGTGTGTGCTGCTTAGGGTCTGTTGACTTCTCCCAGGAGTCGACAGGATAGGTTAAAAGTGGTCTCTCCCCAGGTGGTCCCTGCTGTGTGGTAGAGACCAATGACTTCCAGCTCTGGTCACAGGACACTCCTCACACCCTCTGTGCTCTGGGTCTGTTCCCACCCCCTGTCCTCAGCCAGAGCTTCCTGCACACCTTTGGGTTGCCTGGTTTGTGTTCACTGTTGCACATGCTTGTGCACACTCAATTGCACACACAGAGATATGCTTGTGCATGCACATGTGCATACACGTGCACACACACACATTCTACATTAAATGTGACCCCATCCCCTCTCCTGCCCTGGGAACCTCATTTAGTTTCATCTTAGTCACTGGTTTTCCAGAGATCCTCAGGTCTCCAAGACAAAGGCCACATGGATGTGTTTTGGGTCCATGGCTTTACCCTGCACAGTGCTGGGCAAATGGTAACACAGTCCCCTGGAGGGTTAATGTTGAAGCAGAACCTGTCATCTGCTTCCTGCTCTCAGGGCAGACACTCACCTGTTTGGTCTCTTGTACAGATGATGAATCTCCTGGGCTCTGCGGGTTCCTGAATGTCATTGTCCACTCTGCCACTGGTTTTAAACAGAGTTCAAGTAAGTGACTGGTTTGGAGAGGAAGGTGACGGGGCACTGAGCCAGCGCCTCCATTCTGAAGTACTAATTGGGCCAGATGGGAACCAGGGATGTTGCTGAGATTACCATCAGGTGCCTTTGACCCCTGCCTGCTATGCTGGTGCTGTTTGATGCCCACTGGTGTGATGGTGGTTTCCCTGAGTAGGCACAGCACTTTCCCGGGGCCTGTCTCAGGCCAGAAAACTGGTAAGTTGCCCTCTGCAGGCACGTCTTGTAATTGCAGGAGCTACAGATTTTAAAAAACAGCCTAGGTTCTAAGCCAGGAGGGCCTTAGACGGCCTGGCCGGGGGTACCTTGACCCCGATTAGAATAGATTTGACTACTCTCAAGCTGAATGGTTGCCCATTTCTACCTTCCCCTCCAGGGGATGATTTCTCCACACGAGCTCTTAGGGCTCCTTGCAGGAGGACATAGGGCAGGTACTACATTCTGACATTTCCCACTATTGCTACAAGATAGGAAATCTCCGGTAATTCACAGAATAGAAGATATTTTACAAGCCATATGCATGATAAAGGACTCATATCCAGAATATAGGGAGCGCTCCTAACAGTTCTTACCAAGGAATCAACCCAGTAAAATACAATGAGCTAAAGATTTGTATAGACTTTTGCACAGAAATGCAAATAAGCACATGATAGGGTGCCCATCATCACAGGGAAAGGTAAGTGAAAGCCAGAGTGAGAGACCACATCCTGCCCGCTAGGACAGTGATAGTCAAGATGCACAGTGAGCGATGGTGATGGGGACATGGAGCACTTGGGGCCCTCAGCACTGTAGGTGGAGATATAAAATGGTGCGCCCACCCCAGGAGACAGCCTCACACTTTCATTCTTGAAAAGCTAAACTCAGCCTCCTTGGTGGCGCAAGGGGTTAAGTCTCAGCACTATGAGGCTGTCTGCAGCCATTGCAGCCGAGTTTGATCCCTGGCCAGAGAGCTACCCACATGGCTCAGCAGACCTCTCCTGACTCACCTGCTGCTCCCCTCAGCAGTGTATTTCATTAGATCCTCCTGTTCTGCTCCCCACTCGGTCTCTGGTGAATCCTCTCACCACCCCTCCCTACACCTCTGGCCTGTACGTCAGTTCTTGTATGCATAAATAAATAAATCTTAAAAAAAAAAGCTGAACTCACCTCTGCTGTATGACTCAGCAGCCTCACTCTTAAGTATTTATTCTGTAGAAATGAAGCAGTTGTGCATGTAGAGACTTGGACATGAGTGATAAACAGAACATGGTGTGTCCATGCATGGAGCACTGCTTTGCAATAAAAAGGAATGAACTGTTAGAGCCAGCAACATGGATGAACCTAAATAATTACACTAAACAAAAGATGCAAAAGATCTACACATATGAAGTTTTTAGAAAAGATGGCATAATAGGGAGTCTGGAGGCGTAATCTGATAGTTGGGGTGGGAGGATTGAGTGCAGAGGAACCCAAGAGGACCTCTTTGGTGAGGGCGGTGTCCCGATTGCTGGACTGAACCATCCTCAGCCTCTTCCCATACTCTTATGGGGGGTGGGTTCTGTGATGTGCGTGTCGCGCCTTCATGGAGCTGAAGCACACATGTAATTGTTTTTCTCTCTTTCTCTCGCCCCTCTGGGGCTCCATCTGGGTCTTTCTCACTAAGTGTACTCCCTCCCTCAACCTCCTGGGACCCTTCCTTCAACCAGGCAGATGATGCCTTTACTTCACCTTGCCCAATTCCAGAGGGAAAAAGCAGGGACCTAGACCTTCTTCCGCAGAAAAATGAATGCCTGCCTCTGTCCTCACTTACCTTCTATTACTTTCCATCCCACACTTTAAAGTCTGCAGACTGAACCTATTCCTGTGGCCTGAACCAGCGCGGGACAGCGCCTGCCACCCCACCGCCAGGCCAGAGCCTTTGTCCAGTTCACTGGTCTTGTCAGTGAAGTGCGGTTCTCAGTTGTTGTTGGAGTTCCTTGATCATCTCTGACCTCCTTCCATGCCCTTACCGGTGGTGTCCTCCCCGATCCTCACTACCAGGCCTCCCCCCAGCCTTGGCTCCTGCATCCCATGATTTTCCTGACACTGAGCTGCCTTCTATTCTCCATACTGCCCTGCAGCACCTTTGCCCCAACACTACCTAGTACAGCTCACAGTGGGGTCTGCCCAGGGCATAGGCATTTCCCCTTCACCCCCTTCAGGGTCCCCCACATAGTGACGTCATATTCACCTCTGCCCTCCCTCCAGTTCACTTAGGGGTTTGAGCCATGGTTGCTGATTGATGGGTTCCCAGCCACACTGGCAGGGTGAGGTGGAGTCACTGAGTGAGGGACGGATGTTTTATTTAAAAAAGAAAATTGAGACCATTTATTTTCTGGTTTCAATAGTAGTGCTGGTCTTATGGATAATGTGGTATCTGAAGTCATCTGTCACCCTCTGTCGTTGCCCCTCCCCCATTGTTGCCCTCCCCCGCAGATTTGTACTGCACTCTGGAGGTGGATTCCTTTGGGTATTTTGTGAATAAAGCCAAGACACGAGTCTACAGGGACACTGCAGAGCCAAACTGGAACGAGGTGAGGCACTACTTCTGCTGTGCTGGCCCCGGCCACCCTGGATATTTTCCACAGACAGTCTGAACCCTGAAGCTTCAGACCCTAAAGCTACCCGCAAGGGAACTCCACCAACATTCCGGGAATCTCCTGGGGGCGGGGCAGAGGCGGGGGCGGGGAGTGATGTGTCCAAGAGATTTTATTTTTGTGTTCCTCAGACTCTTACACACACACACACACACACACACACACACACACACACACACACACAGAAACTGCCTATTTTGCTGGAGAAGTGTTTGGAAAAAGAACTTATAAGGGCTTTCTGTCCTGCCTTTGTTACTACTGAGTGTTTACTTGGTAGGTTTCCATAGTGTCTTTTTCCTTTCGAGGTTGGAATGAGCTGGGCCTGACCCTGTCAGGATCTGGAAGCTTGAGGCTCTGCCCTTGGCACTGCGATGGGGACTTCCTGGGCTGAAGAGCCCTGTTTGCTTTTCCCAGGGCGCTGAGTCTATGTTCTTTGCTGCTATTTTTCCCCACCTTGGAGAGCTGCTGCAGAACCTGCTTCCCCTGCTGCTTGAGCCTTTGTGGATGGGGGTGATTGCAGAGAGCAAGTATTAAGGAAGTCCCGAGATCTGCGAGAGATGTCATTCCCCAGCTTCCAGAGCCCCTGTGGCCTTTGAAGCACCTCCTGCTTGAGGATGTGGGTGCAGGAAGCCTGGCTGTGGCGGGGAAGCAGACACCCCAGTGGTATGGCTAGTGGAGCTGTGGGGCTGGAACCAGGTCTCTTCAGCATCCGCTGCCTGACCGTGACACTTGCTGGACTGGGGTGCGGGAAGTCAGTAGACTCACCTGGTCTTTCAGTTCTGGGCGTCCCTGCAGAACGGGCTGCCTGCTGAAACAAGTGGGGAGCAGAGCCAAATGGGATCCATTGAAGAAGGCTTTGCAGGGAATGAGAGGGTATGACCCGGCAGGAGCAACAAGTAAGGAATTCTAGACACTCTGCCAAGATGCCAGGTATGAGCGAGGGACCAAGCCACAGAGGTTCTGGAGCAACAGGTCAACTGGCAGTCACCCTGCTTGTGATACAGATTATCCAAGGTCTCACCTGCCCCATACCCCACCTGCTCCTAGATTAAGAAATATTTCGCCTTTTTCCCCTTCACCTTCCTCTGTTTCCTCACTAAGAGCCAGTTGCAAAGGCATTGATGTGGAACGCAGGTTTGCTGAAGAAAGCATAGGGTTGATGGAGGAGAAGGTTAACCCCACACCCCACAGCAGACCACCCGAAAGTCTACAGGAGCAGTTATATTCTCTTAGGTCTCTCTCCTGTCACCTCCCTGCATCGAATTTTTTTTCTTCCACATAGAATTTTTTAATAGCAATTTTAGGTTCACAGTTAAACTGCCTCCGCATTCTACAAGATGCCCGTCTGTCAGCGCACCAGTTACATGGACGGTTATCACCCAAAGTCCATAGAACATCTGCATGTGCAGCCCACACCCCTGAATTCTGATATGGGTGGTATGGAGTCTGGCCTTTGAGAGACTGACTTAATGAGTTTGGGTTAGGTTTGCAAGGCATTTGCGGTTTCAGGAAGCTTCCAGGCTGGACCATGATGTGATGCTGAGTAGGTAGCTTCTGAGGGTCTGTGTTCCAGGACTAAATTGAGGAAGGTCTTGAGGCACGGTTCCCCCGGGGCAGCTGGGAAGCTGTCTGTTGAGGAGTCAAGGTTCAGAGGCCCCGTCTGACTGCTACGCTGAACAACATGCACTTGGACCCATCTGTGAATAGGAAATTTTCCTTCTTTCTTGGGGCTGCAGGAATTTGAGATCGAGCTGGAAGGCTCTCAGACCTTAAGGATATTGTGCTATGAAAAGTGTTACAACAAAATGAAGATCCCCAAGGAGGACGGCGAGAACACAGACAGGATCATGGGGAAGGGCCAGATCCAGGTGAGCCTGCGCCTTCTCTACCCCCTGCAGAGACATTTTCAGGCTCTGGACCTGCTCACACCACCTCCAGATTGTCTGTGTTCTTTTCTTGTTTAATTCAAGGACACTGAGTTGGCCTGACTTCAGCGGGGACAGGGGCCATGCCACTGGGCTTTCACAGTGAGGCAGACCCGGCTCTGAAAGATCCTCTCTGGGAGACCTAGGCTGGTGTCTTCATGGGTCCTTTCCTTCCCTTCCACTGGACTGAGTGTCTGTCTTACCCCCATCTTGTCCACCGACTTATTTTTCCAGCTGGGTCCTCAGCTCCTCAAGGTTAGGTGGCACCATATGCTAAGTGGGCAGTTAGGAGGCTACCTCTTCTTGGAAAAACACTGTGTCTCAGTGCTTGAAGTTACCTCTCTGGGTTAGACCCAGGTTTCTAAATGGGGCACCATAGATACTCCCCTAAGAGTTGACAGAAATGTCCCTGGTAGGCCAAGAAAATTGCCCATACAAGACCAGTGAGAGTCCCCAGGCCCTCAGGGAAAACCGTCTGCAAGTTGTCCCAGTGCTTGGAAGCTCCCCACCACCAGCTGTTGCATTCTTGGCAGACAAGAATCACCTGCAACCCTACCCGCACCACTCTGCACCCTATTTCGAGAAAACCCTGGTACCTACTTTTTTACAGGGCATCCTGTCAGATCCACCAGGTGGGTTCTTCCCAACCTGCCCTGGTAATGTACAGTGTTCACCCCTCACCTTTGTACCCTCCCACCCACGCCGACGTCCTCAGAGGAGGCCTCCAGTGGGTGTGGGTTTGGAGTTCCAGAAGCTGTGGGAGGACAGGGCTCTCCAGGAAGCCCCACCTCCCTTCCCTGAGAGCAGGAAGTGAAAATCCTTTTGTGGTGAAGTTCTGAGGAACAGGAATAATGGGGGGTGAGGAGAGGTGACTCTTCTCTGAGTAATTCGTTACCTTTGCTGGCGAGGCCCCTGTCATGCTCGTTGTCAGACCTCCATACGCTGCTGGGCTGGTCAGCAACTCAGGAGTACTTGCTGCCTGTTTTCCCAACTTGGGAGCTTGTTTGGGAGCCCAGTGGTACAGGCCTTTTGGGGACCCCTGTGCCTGGACACCTGCCTACCAACACCAGCCAGTAGACTGGGGGAGCGGGGAGAAAGGGGGAAGTGACCCCCAGCCCTACAAAGACACAGAGAGAGGAGGAAGCTCATGAAATCCCCAGGCTGTGTATTTTCCTAGGGGAGCCAGGTCCATGCTCCAGTGAGTCCACTAGGCTTGGGGTGTTCCTGGGGTACCGGCCTTAGCCGGTATAGGGAAGGTAGGATTTCCAGCCCCTCTCTCCGCCAGGGATGGTCTAGGAAGACCACACCTATCCAAGCTAATGTCCTGAACCAGAATCCTGCCTGTGGCTTAGATCTTGGGTGAGAAAGAAAGGGTTCCTCTTTGCTCCCCATCAACCCCATGCTCCATCAGGACCGTTGTAAGGTCTTGGATCAGGACAGAAACACAGGCCAGATTGTATTAGTTGTCCCACTTCTGGGGTCCTGATCAGGGGTCTGTGTTTGACCAGGTTCCTCCCTCCACCAGGGTTACCCTATGTGAGCTTGGTGAGGGTCCCACTGTGTTAGACACGTGTCCATCACAAATTTGGAAGTTGTGTGCCCATGTTGCGTGCCAGCTACTCCCCGTGGTGTTGGGGAGGACAGGAAAAGAACTGATACTTGCCGTCAAATTTCATTGACTCAAACCTTATCAGGAATCTCCTTGGCATAATACCACGGACTCTAACAAACTTTCTTTTTTAACTATATTTTTTAAAGTAAAACCCTTTTAACAGCCTCTGACTCCCTGGGGCATTCATGAGATCTGACCACTTGTTCCCATGTAGATATCGTTCACCCTCTTGGTTTTATGGGGAATCCCACAGAGTGGTCAGCCACATGGACCCTGATGGTGGATGCTGAGGCGGTGTTCAAATTTTGCTGTTCTGTGGGCACCCTTGTGCTGGACCCCTCTGAGAATTGAGTGTTTCAGTGACAGTCATAGCTATCTTCATTGACAGTCATTGACAGTGTTTCAGGACGGTCATACCTATCATTCTTCACCTCTATTTCGGCTGCCGCCCTGCTCCCCCTCCCTCTTTCTCTCTGTGTTTGCACCTGTGCTTCCTTCAACGCACCCAGCCTCTGAACTGCGTTATGCAGCCCCATGGTGAGCCCAGCTGAGGGCGCCAGCAGACTAGGTGCCAGCATCTTTTTTGCCCATCAGACAAGGCTAGGGAGGCTCATATTCCACCAATCTTTTGATTCAGATCATCTGAATCTTCCTCCACTGGATTCCCAGGCCTGGTGGGATCTGAATTCAGGGCCTGTGAGCAGTGTCATTGGGTTCCTGGGGGGTAGGGACAGGGCAGAGGGACCCTCCGAGGAAAAGAAGGAGACAATACTCGCTGTTGTCTTTCATTGAATCAAACCCTGTCGGGAAATTCTTTGCCCCAATACTACTGATGTAACAAACTTTTTAAAAACCTATGTTTATTTTTCTTTAAGTTAAACCCATTTAACAATATCAGGAGGAAGTCATCAGATTATCACAAATTACCTTTTAAACCTATGCTTTTTTGTTAAATCTCAAGGTTGAAGTCTTCAAACATTATGTTTGAGCACTATGAGTGATAGTTAACAAAATACTTCTTTTACCACAGTGCTCTGCGACAGTCCAGGGGTAACAGGCGAGCCCCCTTCTCTGTCATGTAGAGAGGAGCAGTAGGCTGTGAGGGGCTTGTGAGGGGTGTCTCTTGAGTGGACCCATGACCCCTGCTCCTTGCCAGCGCCCTCCCTGGTGTTCTTCCTGCTGGCGCCAGACAGGAGGTGGGGCGGAGCAGAGGATGTGGACTCCATAATTATTCGTCACACTTGTTGAAAGGGCAAGGCAGACTTTATTCTAAATGTAGACTTTTATTTATCAACAAGTCTGATTTTAGAATATTTGTATCACTGCCAGACGATTTCCTCTTTCCAATTACGGTCACCCTCTCCCCACCCCCAGCCCTAGGCTGCCTATAGCTTTACCCACTCACCTCACCATTTGTCTTTTGCAACTGACTTTTCCACTTAGCGTGATGTTGTTAAGGGTCATTCACATCATCTAGGGATGACCTTTGTATGGCTGAGTTAGATTCCATCGTGTGTATTCACATTCCAAGTTGTGTGTGTTCCTCAGATCGTGGACTCTGAGCTGTTTCCAGCTCAGGTCTGTTAGGGTTCACTCTGCTGTGTGAACTTCGTGTGGCTGGGTGTTTTCATTCTTCCTGTGTGGATACCTGGAAGTGGAACGCTGGACCGTGCAGCCAGTTTTCACTGCAAGGAGCTGTCCTGCTTTCCAGCATGATGGCCCCATTCACTGCCCCACTGCCCCAGTTCTCATTCCTCTATACCCTTGCCAGCACTCATTACCAGGGCATATGGAATTAAAGAGAGAGATGGCAGGGCTCACGAGAACAGACTGTAGTAATAAAAGGAGACAATAGTGGGACTCCAATTTCTCCCTCTGGGAGATTCTTGGGTCATCTTCTAGAATGAAGACCCACTCCAGGGAGTAGGTTATGGTGCTAACAGGTGGAGCTCAGTCAGGAGAACTGCAGAAGCCTAAGGAACCATCCTGGGTGCTGACAGTAGGCTTGGAAGAAACTGCAGTCAACAAGAGGCAAGGGAGGAGGGAACAGGTATTTCCTACCTTGGACAATTTAATTCTGTCCCAACCTCCAGCCAAGGGTGGGTAAGAGAATGCCCTATGGTTGTCCATTGGTGATCCACCAGTCATGCCTGCTCCAGTGCAGGCAGGACAATGCCAGGTCCTCACCCAGGTCACTCAGGGCAGCTCTCAGCACCTGTCCCACTTGGGCTTTGCCCTTCCCCCTCACTAGTCCCGCCCAAGAGTGGACACCAAAGGCTGGTTTCTAGGCAGACCGTGGGGCACCCTCACCAAACCACCTGCCCACAAGGCCCTTACCTTGCCCAATTATGGGAGGAAAAAGCAGGGGCCTAGACCTTTTTCCTCAGAAAAATGAGAGTCTGCCCTGGCTGAGTTCCCATCTCTGAGTAGCATCCTCAGCCTCAAGACCTCCAGGGGACCCTAATGGGCATCCCAAGTACTCTCAGGTTTCCCCTCTACTGCCATTTCCTGGTCCTTTCCCTGTCATCTGTTTTTCCAAAGCCAGGTCCCTCACTTGTTTACTTCTCTGGTGCTTTAAATAGTCACATGAGAGAGTGAGCTGACCGTGAATGGGGCCGGGCTGAGCCGAGGGCCTCATGGTAGTGTTATTCTTCCTCCTGCTTCCGCTCTGCTTGCACACTGTGTTCTTTGGCACTCTGCCAGCATGGGGATGGCCTTTCTCACTGGACAACTGTCCTGAGGCTGCTTTGAAGGTTGGGGAGCCCAATGAGGAGCCCCCATGGCACATGGGGGCCAGTACATGCCACAGCCCCTCGGGCTAGTGACAGTGGGCTGGACAGCAGTACTAGGGGTGGATGGTGGGCTGAGCCTCCTCATCACTGGGCCTGCTATGCTCTTAGGGATGGGGGCTGAGGGCTGTTCTTTGCCCTAAGTTTATCCATCAAGGCAGTACATGGCATTATTGGGGTGACCAGCTAAAGTGATGTGGGCCTGGGTGGGGGGTGGTCAACAGAGCACATCCAGCCATGAAGTAGATTGACCTGGCAGACATGTGTTAGTCAGTATCTCCAAATGCACCCACAGGAAACTGGCCACTAGAGAAGGAAGTTTGATTTTTCTGGAGAAAAACCATGACATGTTGCAATTCCCGTAACCAATAGGCCTCTGGTGGGGGTGGGGGGGTGCGGGGGTGGTTTTTCCATACATAGACAAAAAACCAGAACCCAGGGATGACAAAAGCTTTGACCTTGGTGAGCCAGACTACGGGGGTGGGGCTTCCTGCAAAGGCTGATTAAAAGGCAGCGGAGGCCGGGAGCTCACTGTGCAGCCGTGCTCCTGTCCATCTGTGCTCCCGTCCAGCTGCTGCAGCCTCTGAGAGCATCAGGCCTGAGGATGCGAGAGACACCGTTCTCCCCTGCTGCTCTGCTGGGCCTCCTTCGGTACCTCCACCCCAGCCGACCGCGCCGGAGCCGGGTGGGCTCTGCCGAAAAGCACCTGTGTGTTCACAGCTCTGCCCTGTGGACCCACATTCGAAACCTCATGCGCAAGGGCAAGGTGGGCGGCAGGTGTGCTGTGCTTTCCCTGGGTGGGTGCGCTAGGGGTCTTGTGGCCTGGATGGCTCAGTCATCTGAGCCAGAGATGCCTCTCTCTGTCCTGCTGCTTGTCAGATGTGTCTGCCAGTTCTGGGCTCTGCAGGGAAGACGGGTTAGGGTGTGTCCTGCAAAACCTGCTTGTATTTTCCTTTTTTGCCTCTCCCAGTGGTGGACAGTAAACTCTCCCTTCCCCTGGGGGCAGGAGGAATGGCCCCCTGCTGCCTCCCTTCCTGGGGTGACCAGGACATGGGAAGAGTTGGGGGTAACAGACCAGCAGTGTACTCCTTCCCTGCCTCTTCCTTACCTGCCAGTCCCCCACCCCCATCCCCCCCCCCCCGCTGTGAGGCAGTTACCTCTGGGGTTCACTTGAAGGGGATGTGCCATTTGGGTGCTGTCTTTTTCTCTGTAGTTGGGGACTGCCTGGTCCCTGCTCACAGGCCTTGCCCCTCAGTGGTAGAGGTCCCTGTGGCCCGAGAGGATTGCCCCTAAAAGCCTCCTGGACAGATGCAGAGTGAGAGCCCGTGACCACACAGTCCCGGAGGAAGACACTCTGCCATCTTTTGTTTTTCTGTGTCAATCTGGCTGTGTATTTCAGAACCTTGGAATGTTGACCAATATGGCCTAGAAGCAGAGGGGAGATGGGCCGTCCCCCACATGTGCCTGTGCTGAGCCTTCTGTGCTGAATAGGTGTGGGGGACAGGCCCGGGTACACTTACCTGCAAGGCAGATGCAGCTGGGCCTTGTTTTCCTCACCTGAACACAGCCCAGGTGGCTCTTGGCTCTCCGTCCCCTTGAATGGGTAAATGTGAGATGTCTGTCCCGAGTGCCCCTCTGGAGCTGGCACTATGCTTAGTACAGTGTGTGTGTACATGTTTGTGTGCACATGTGTGCAGGAATCCTGAGGCAAGGTGCCTGCTCTTAAGTGACTCGCCAGCAGCAGATTTGAACCATCATCCACAGCAAGTAATGACACCCCAAGGTCCTTTATGAGGACCATCAGGTCATATGTCAGACTGACACTTCACCCAGCTTCACATCATCATCACTTGGGAGGTTCCAGCTATGTGAACCCCAGGTCCCACCTTGAGTTGCTAGTCTGACTCTCCTGTTGAAAGCCAGGGAGGCATCTTTCTAACAAGATCTCCCCAATCATCTGTGCTAGCATGCTGGCGTGGAGCATGTGCTTCCCAAAGGTGGGAGGTGGAGCCTTCGTGGATGGGGGGCATGCGGATTGACCACAAAGATTGGGGTGTCTTATAACAGCACGGACTGTTAGGTGACAAACAGCATGGTCCTGCAGAATGGTACTGGGGTGGGGGCAGGGACTGCAGAGGGGCTTCTTCCAACTGTGTGATTTGGGGCCAGGCTCTGGGTCCTTCTGGACCTGATCCTAAAGCACAGGACCGACTCGGCTGGAGGCAACTAAGGTGTCTCAGCTCATAGTCTTGGATGCCATGCCCTCAGGAAGTTGATACTGAAATTGAACTAACCAAAGTGTCATGTAAACCAACTGCTTAGCCTCCACTGAGCCGCATGAAGCACCTGTGATGGTTGGTGACAAGAAGCAAGCAGGTGGCTTCTAGCTCCTGGATTGCCACCACAGACTTTAGTTTCCATCAGGATTGGGACAGAGGGGAGAGCAGAATGCAGTGTCCCTGAAATGTCACTGATGCATATCCAGGGTGAGCCTGAGCCCCAGGCCACAAAGGTCTTGAGAGCAAACTCTAAGCTTCCAGGGGTCTCTAGCAAGCCCTCTTTTCTCCCTGGACACCTGGGCCTCATGAGTCTGGTTGTGATTACAACTTAGATGTGGAGAAACAGCTGTTGCCCATAGGGCCTCTGATAACCATGATCCCTCCTTTCAGCTGGACCCCCAGGCCCTGCAGGACAGAGACTGGCAGCGCACTGTCATCGCCATGAACGGGGTATGTACCAGATTCCAGAAGCTGATGGTGGCCCTGATTCTGTCCCAAACAGTCAGAAGGAGGCTAAGCCTGGCCTGGTATCTGACAGGGAGTGTGACTGGAACAGGGAGAGACCCTTGGAGCAGAATCGCCATGTGCCTGGAGTCAACTTGGGGGCTGACCTAGTAGCACCTGGGTCTCAACCCCGGGGTCTGCCCATAGAAACTGAGACCCCAATCAGTCTGGGGTCTGTAGGCCTTAAAAAAAAAAAAAAAAAACACTACCACCCACCAAAAATGGTCTGGGCTGAATATTAATATTTGATAGATAAATCATGGCTTTTTGTTGTATTATTCATTTTACTTTTTCCCAAGTTTATTATTGTTAAGAAAGAGAAGCAGTGGTGTTTGGCGGGGGGAGGGAGTGTTCTGCAGAAGCTGGTCCTTAACTCATCCTAACCATCCAAGCTCTTGCCGGCTTGGGTGGAGCCACCCTGCGCTGGCACTTGGCTTACTTACTAGGGGGTATGCGGGTGAGGGTGGTGGGTTTGAAAGATTTTCCGAGACCTGGGGGCCCCTGGGAACTCAGACGGTGAGGACCAGGAAGGTGAAGGGACCCTGCTCCGTTTTTCTCCTTCAGATTGAAGTGAAACTCTCAGTCAAGTTCACCAGCAGGGAGTTCAGCTTGAAGAGAATGCCTTCCCGGAAACAGACAGGGGTCTTCGGCGTCAAGATTGCCGTGGTGACCAAGTGAGTGACTGGGCATTTGGGCCTCTGCGTTATGTTCCTACCCCACCCACCTACACCCCCCCGCCCCCGCTACAGTGTTCCTGGAGGAAGAGTGGGTTTGGGTCTCCCCTCTCGTCCGCAGCACAGTCACTGCTCAGGACTCTGTGCGTGTGTCGCTGTCTCTGTGTTCACTGCAAAGCTTGTTCCCATTAACCAACTCAGAATTGTCCTTGTCCCTTTCCATGGGTGGCGGCTCCCGCACAAGTCCCGAAAGCACACAGTGGTGGGGTTTTCTTTCCTCTCTTGGCATTTATCGTGATCAGGCATCCTGCTGAATGTGGCAGCCACAGTCCTTTGTTACAGGTCAAGCCTCTGTGTTGAGTTGAGGGCAGTTTTCGGGGACACAGACCCTTCCTCCCAGAAACCTCTTGACCTTCTTGAAAAGAACATGTACAACTTGGGGCTCCCTGCTACTTGGGGCTCGAGGGAACGCCCAATTAAGATACAGCACTGATCATCATGAGCTTGTAGATTGGAGGGAAAATGCACAGAAGACCTGTGTGCACACAGACTCAGGCGCATTATCCCCCCTTCCAGGTGTCCAGGTGTGCAGGCAGGTGATGCGTGGAGGGGCCAGTGAGAACTAAGGCCATCCTGGAAGGCCTCTGCCCATCCCCAAGGACTGCCTGCTGTCCCCAGGGCCCCAGCCTGAACTGCCAGGCCTTGAGTGTGTTTCCTCTTCCCTGCAGGAGGGAGAGGTCCAAGGTGCCCTACATCGTGCGACAGTGCGTGGAAGAGATCGAGCGGCGGGGCATGGAGGAAGTGGGTATCTACCGCGTGTCCGGAGTGGCCACGGACATCCAGGCCCTGAAGGCGGCCTTTGACGTCAGTGAGTGTCAGCCAGGTCTTTCAGGGTAGTGCTGGGGTGTGTCCCCTTCAAGGTGTAGGTGTGGTGCCCCCTCTGTGGCCCATGCCTGTGATGTCATGCTTTACACCTTTTCTTCATTTACTGCCTTATTTTTTAAATGAAAAGATGTGGGGGTATGAGAGGAGATTCTGCAGAAGCCACTTCTTTACCCATCCTAACCATGCATGTGTGGTTCTTACTGAGTTGGGCTGAAGACAGCCATACACTGGGGACTTAGCCTGTTCGCTTGGAGAAAAGAGGTGTCGACCGAAACCCAAGGGTCAGTGAGGGCTGACCACCCTGTCCACTCTGAGGCTGAAGCAGAGCAAAGGGTTTTGAGGTGAACCAGCACCTGCTGGCTGGTGTTACGGGTCCCCAACTCCCTGGCCCTCACACGCTGTGAAGTCAGCAGGACTGCCCCAATGCCAGATGAGGACACTGAGACCCCAGAGAACCCTCAAGATGGAAGGTGGCAGGGCCTTTGTGCCTGACTGCTTCTCCCTCCCTGGCTTGGAGCCTGGAAGGCCAAGTAGCCCTAGGTGGATCCTGCCACAGTTGCAGCTCCCTCCAGGTGACCAGTGTGGGTCTGGCCTGTGGTGCCAAGGGCCAATGGCCACCTGACCCTGAAGGAAAGGTGCTGGCTCAAATACAGAAATGGAACCAGTAGTTTCAGGTGGCTTCCTGTTCTCAGATTCGCTGGTGGCTGTTCCACCACTGTGGGGTAGAGCTGCCTTCTGCTCAGGCTCCCTGTCTGTCCTCTGCCCACAGCCTCCACAGCCTTGCACAGGAAGGGAGGTGTGGGGAAGACATCTGGGGAGGATGGTAAGGACGAGTGAGATCAACTACCAAAAAGGAGGAACCTAAAAAGTGGTTGGTGCAGATTGTGTTTAGCTTAGACAGGAGAGTGGAACCCAGTTAGGGGTCCCTAAATAGGCCATGCCTCATTTCTGTGCTCTTTCCAGATAACAAGGACGTGTCAGTGATGATGAGTGAGATGGATGTCAATGCCATTGCTGGGACCTTGAAATTGTACTTCCGAGAGCTGCCTGAGCCTCTTTTCACTGATGAGTTCTACCCCAGCTTCACAGAGGGCATCGGTGAGTCTGTGAGGTGTCTCCCCACCTCTCCTGGTGTCTTGGAGGTGGGTGGGGGGGCGTCAGTGGTGAGGCAGGGGAGGAAAGTTATGCCCCCTTGTCCATGGCCTGCATTTCAGCCCCAGAATCTGCAGGGACTGAGAATTAAACCAGCCATGGAAGTCCCATCCCCAAAGGAATACCCGCTGTGCCTGTCTCTCCAGAGACACCAGAGGGTAAAGCGGCCGTGCACATGCTGTGGAGGCTCTCTAGGCTGCAGTCCGCCTCCCTGGAGCACACCAGCACCAGTGTTGTGTGACCCAGGGCATCGGCGAGCCCTAACTGTGTCCTCTTTGACATGGTATTCTGGTATTCTCCAGACTCTGGAGAGGCCTCCAGCCTATGGTATGACCCTGAAAAGTAACACCCCCTTTCTGTAGCTCTTTCAGACCCTGTTGCAAAGGAGAGCTGCATGCTTAACTTGCTGCTGTCGCTCCCAGAGGCCAACCTGGTGACCTTCCTCTTCCTTCTGGACCATCTGAAAAGGTAGCCTCAGCCCTTCCTGGGGGGTCCCTCCTCCTATACGCTGCTGGCTCTGTCAGCCTCCCTAGCACCTAGGGCCTTTTCTGCCCACCCTGGCTGCAGTTACCCTGTGGGTATGGGCACCATTGCCAGCCTCCTTCTCTGCCTTACGTGAAGCGTGAGGTGCTTTGGCTAAAGCCCTCAGTGAACTCAGACAGCCCCAACCCAGTCATGACTTAGAGCTAGTCCAGCTACCTGCTGGCCTCAGTGCTCTTTATCCTGGGCCCTCAGAAACCCAGAAGAACCAGGAGTGGGTTTCCTTTCAGCATAGGTGGGGGCTCTCATGCACATTCACTACTGAGGGCGGTGTCCAAACAGCATCCTCTACTTGGTCCTTCGCAGGGTGGCAGAAAAGGAGACGGTGAACAAGATGTCCCTGCACAACCTTGCCACAGTCTTTGGCCCCACGCTGCTCAGGCCCTCGGAGAAGGAGAGCAAGCTCCCTGCCAACCCCAGCCAGCCCATCTCCATGACCGACAGCTGGTCCCTGGAGGTCATGTCCCAGGTATGAGGAGACAGCAGCTTCCAGCCCATGCTGCCCAACCTTGCAGAGGGGGCCGCTGCCCACCCCATTCTGGATCCCAGTCATTCCCACCCAAATTGGACTGGAGGTGGGGGCAGCGATGAGGTTCAGAGAGGAACTCGCTTAGGGACAGTGCCTAGGAGGGCCAGGAGAGCCAAGGCCGCTGCTCTTCCCTCTGCACCTTACTGGGCTTCTCAGGATCTTCTCCGCCTGGTGGTCTTTCAGTTCCACCCAAACCCCTTGTGTGAGAGGCTTGTAACAACATTACAAGGGGCCGTCAGCACCGTGAACTGGACTTGTCGCTCTCACCAGGGCTTTGACCAGGAAGACCAGCCTGCAACCCTGTGTACACACCTTCTGAGCACGCCCTTTCTCCTCTCTCTGTCCCTGCAGGTCCAGGTGCTACTGTATTTCCTGCAGCTAGAGGCCATCCCTGCCCCGGACAGCAAGAGACAGAGCATCCTATTCTCCACTGAAGTCTAGAGGCCCAACTCCATGTCCAAGTGACTGACAGAATGACCTAGAAACCTCCTGGAGAAAAGTGCCCATCCACAGAGCGGGAACCAGACCTTCTGGAGGAGTAATTGGGCACAGGGCCAGCCGTCTGCCAAGAGACACCTACCCAAGACAAAGGGCCAAGTGGCCTGGGCAGTTCTGGGCCCCCCAACAGGTGCACCTGCGACCTCCCTGTTGGCCTTAGACTGTGGTTTTTGACATTGCCACCAGAGGGCGCACCAAGCCAGCATGTTTCGCCGTGTGCAGGCCTGGCAGGTGGTCTGGCTGGGGACCGGGCGAAGGGAGTGGTTTTTATGAACTTAATTTACCAGAGTATAAAAGATTTCTACTGGATCAAGATGCACCCTCTCCAGGGAGAAGGGAACACGACTAGATTCCCTCACTATCGTGTCTTGAATAAACACTGCTGCTGCTTCGTACCATGGGGGCCACAGCCCTTCCCTGTGCGGGTGGGGCATTTCCATTTTCCTGACTTAGAAGTTTGACTCCATTAGTAACAGGGTGTGAAAGGCTAAGTCAACACTGTGTCGCGAGTGACCCCTTAACCTCCTGTTTCTTTTATAGAAGGATCTCTGTACAGAACAGGGTCTTCTTCCTCTCCTACCCCGTTGCTTTGTTTTGCTGTTCATGTGCCCCCTCAAAAGGCAGCCCCAGTGGATGTCCAGGATGGACACCAGGCCAGGAAGCCCAGGCTGTGCACTTTATGGTTTGTTCTCCGGAGAGAGAGCAGCTCCATCTGCCACCCTAACTGCCCACTCGCCAGGCACGCGCTCCTTTGGCTTTAAAAGGCCTGGTCTCTGGCTTCCTCCAGCCTGTGGCCCTCTGCCAGCTCTCTCCCTTCCCCCTCACCCACCCTCCCTAATGGCTTCATTCCCTGCTCTCTGCTGAACAAACTCAGTAAACTTTTGTAAGTTTCCTCTCAGCTGCAGCTTGCTGACAGCTTGTTTTAAACTTTGATCTGAATAGCCTTTTGATACTTGAATATTTTTAAGTTTTATACATAGTTTCTAATTTTTTTCCTAACAGATTCAGATACCTAATAAGATATTAGAATGTATTCTGTGGACAATCTGAGTCCCAGCAGCATTTTGTCTTCCTCCAAGCGCCAGCTCTGCTTTTGCCAGGAGCCATTTCTGAGGCCTCTTGAGCATGGGGACTGTGGGGGGGCTAGGAACAGGGGCTGCTCTGTGGGCCAGGCTGAGGGTGGAGCACTTCCACCCCAGAGTGGCTGGAAGGACAGGCCCACCCGCTGACTGCTCCCCGCACTCTGTGTACCTGTGCAGAAGCCAGGACGCTCCTGGCAACCTCCTGTGGGTCCGACTTGGAGAAGAAAACAGTTTTTTTTTAAAAAAACAAACCTATGAAAATGGCATCTTTTTTTTTTAAAGAGAGGGTTTGGGGTGCGGAAAAAAGGAAACAGACAATTTCCATGCCTCTGTTTTTCAGGGTCTTTCAGGAAGAGAGGGTGTAGCAAATCTGACCCAGGAAAAGCTGGTTGTCCCAGGACTGTCCCAGTCACCAGCGGCACTGCCCCACGATCCTGCCTGTGTGCCTGGTGGGCGTGAGCAAGTCCTTGCCCGGTGTGTCTAAGGGTAGTACCTGCCTGAGGTCACAGTGGTTGGGGGGCCATGCACCCCCACTCTCCCCTTGCATGTGGATCTGCCAAGGCAAAGGCCAGAAAATGAAGTCACGTGAAGGTGTTAGGTCTGCACACTGTACTTAGGTAGCTGTAGTTTTCTTGCAAGGGGGATAGATGTATTTAAATCATCTGTTGGGCCTGGCTGTTGGGGTGAGGGCAGGGAGCAGGTGGCTACACTCTGCACATCTCTGGAGTCAGTGGGTTTCTCAGGCTCCATCACTGGGCTCCTCTGGCCCGGCTACGCATCCGGCCATCTTCCCAGACAGCAGCCTGGGTTCCTGGATACAGCAGGACCAAGGAGTGTTTGCTGAATGAAGAAGTGAATGAATGTGGAGTGAATGAAAGCCTTGGAGCAAGAGTCCCTACAAGATGAGCCATTTAAGGTGGGGTCACAGGGAATTGCAGACCAGACCCTCGACTGGGCCTGGGAGCCTCCAGCCTTCCTGATGAATGCTGGCTGAGCTGCCTTCATGCGCATTTGCTCTCGGAGCTGCAACTCCACTCCAGACGGTGCTCAATATTTCTTGGGGCAAGGGAGGAAGGGGGGGCCACACAAGATGTGCCTCCCTGGACATTCCTACAGAAATACCATGACCAGGTGGCTATTACTGTGCTGGAGGCACCAGGCAAGAGTCACACAAGTCATTTCTGAGGTAATTCTCCCAATAGCCACCTAAGCAGAGAGTTCCACTTTGGAGCTGGGGTAACAGGCCAGAGCCTCACTTGGAATCACCCAGCTGAAAAGACACTGAGTAGAGGCTAAAACCCCTTCCTCTTTAAAAGATTTTATTTATTTATACAAGCACTAGGTACAGTCAGAAGCAGGGGAAGGTGAGAGAATTCACCAGAGCCAGAGCGGGTAGCAGAGCAGGCAGAAGGACCGAAGTACACTGCTGAGGGGAGCAGCGGGCGGCAGGAAAGGTCTGCGCGCCATGTGGGACCCTCGCCTAGCGGCCAAGGATCGAACCGGCGCTGCAGAGGCTGCGGGCAGCTTCGCAACCCAGCGCTCAACCACTGCACCACTGGGGAGGCCCAATTTCAGGTTTCTTGTAGAGTTGGAAGCCCCCGGCCCTGACACCTCAGTGAACCAAGGGGACAGAATCATCCTCTGTGACTGGGCCTTGGCCTGACAAGAAAAAGCCAGCCCTGCGTACTGTGGGCCCTCCAAGACATGGGCCAGCCTATCTCCTGGCAGGATGGACTTTCTCTCTGGGCACCAGGACCAAAGGCTCCTGGAACTTGCGATCAGGGAGTTCCCTCCCAAGGCCTCTGGATGCAGCTTCCTTGCAAGGCAGCCCTGGGTTGAGGGGGAGGGGGACGCAGTTTAATAGACACTGGATTCTAATCCTTGCTCTGCCTCACTTAAGGGCAGGGAAGGAGGTAGTTTCTTTTCTCCTTAGTTTCCTAATCAAAGGGTGACAATAATCCTGCCTCATCTGGAGTTGCAAGGATTCAAAGCATGTGTTCAGAGGAGAGACTTGGTTAAGTACCCAGCACTTAATTGTTGACAGGGCCCATCATGAACACATTGCAGTCATTGGCTCCTCGCCTCTGCCTACAGTTCCCTCTGCCTCGTAGGCCCAATTGAGTGCAACTCAACTGTTCCCTAGAAAACCCTTCTTTACCCACTGTTTGGCTGGGGTGTCCCTAACTGGGGCTCCCGCAGCAATGAGAGGTTCACACCATCAGACCCAGGCCAGTGCTGGGACTAGACATGAACTGCAGCCGTGTGCCAGTGCCTGTGCACGCTGACTGGCCTGAGGACGGAGCCCTGTGTTCTAGGGCTCCCTGAATTTGGTCCTCTGCTACACAGCGACTACTCAAATGTGGGGGGCTCCCTTCTACCCAAAGCAGCTAAACTGAGCTGCCCTGAGCTCCCTGAAACAAGTTCTACCAGCTCCAGCTCCAGCTGGCATTGTGGTTGCCATAGTGTGTGTGCTAGATTTTGAACTTAAAAGAGAACTAACTATTGCTTCAGCCTTCTCTGATTCTGAATCTGGAGATCAGGTACTTTTTTCTCACTTGAGCTTGAAAAAGTCTTTTGGCTCTTCGAGTAGAGCTGACTGAAGTACTTATTCTAGCTTTCAAGCTTGAATGAGCTGTGTCTTCACCTGCTCTGGCTCAGGAGCTGTGGAGGGCTGTAGAATTTGAGCTGGCACTAGCTGCTGAAGTTCTAGAGGTTGCTCTGGATTAAATGCTGTAGACCCAGGGAAAGTCATATTGTGACTGCCTTTCCATGTGTCTTCACAAACCACGACCATCAGTGAAGTCCCAGCCAAGGATCTACCTAAGGACACCCTCCCTGACAGCAGCCAGGGGGAACACTCATTGTTCCTGACCCAACCCAGCCCCTAGAACCTCTGTTATGTGTGTCCCAGACCATGCTTACCCCACCCCCACCCCCACACACATTCTACTCAGGGGCCTGAGGAACTCCAGCTAGTCCAGGACAGCACAGTTCTCTGGTTCTATGCCAGGCCTATTGCCCATATGTCATCAATACCTTCAGGGAAGGAAGCTCTGGGGCTGGTAAAAATCACTGTGTACTTGTTTCCTGAGGTGCCAGGATGAGGGAGATGGCGCTGGCAGCAATAAGGTGGGAGCAGTGTCACAGACCTGCAGGGTCCTAAAGTACACCTGCAGGGCACCTCCCACTCGATTTCAAGGCAGAGACATGCCTCGTTACGGGGAGGGAATGCCAAAAAACATTTGGAAATGAGACCCTTGATCAATAGTGTGGTCACCTCTGCTGCTTCTGGGAAGCCTAACCCGCCTCTCTGTGCTGCTCTGTCCCCTCCTCAGTGTAATGTCAATTCTGTGAGGGCAGGAGTGCGTCTGCTCTATTCATCGCACTCACTAGCACAAAGATACTCCACGAGTAGCTGGCCAAAGAGGGAACAAGCCAACTTCTGTGCAGGCTTCCAAAGCTGCCTAGTACCTGGACTTCAGCTCATGCGCATGCATGTGGCCTTTCACTGGGATCCCCACATAGGCCTCTTCCTCCTGCTGCCAGAATCTCCCACTGGGTTATCTCAGCTGACCCCTGAGTCTCCTGAGCACCAGCTGAGCATCTGCTGTGAGGTTCCATCGGAAGAGTAGCGGGGAATTCTCCACACAACCTGTTCCAGGCCCCAGGTTGGGGTGGAGGCAGGCGGGCTGCATAAGGGATGGGAACGAATTTCTCTTTGGGGCTGACAGTCCTCTCATCACCCCTATGGCTCCCATGACACCCATAGTCCCACCACAGCTCTTAGAAATCCTTTTTTTCTTCCTCAAGAGAAAGTGAATCTTCTCCCTTCACAAGAATCATAAAATGTGCATGATAAAGTGCTTTGCCAGTCCCACTTGCTTTGATGCATTGTAAATTGATATTGGTAGGTAAACAGAGTTTTCTATCATGAGGTTGCAATTCTGTTTGGGGCAAAAACAACAGATGAAGTTGCTAGGTCTTTAACTTCTGGGATGGTAAGATAGTCATGTGGGTTTGGTAAGTGCTCCATATACTCCAGATTTGCCAGAGGCATACAGAGCAGAAATGGAACCTGGGTCAGGCCACCCACACACCCATCATTACCAAAGCCCACACATGCACCAAAGAGAGGCAAGAAGTCCAGCAGAAAGTAACAAGCACATTGCATGTTCTTGCTGGTCCTCACATAGACCATCTACCAGCAGAATGGAGGCCTGGCTAAGGGATTTAACATAACCTCTGTCCAATCTTGGGCTAGATGCTAAGGTATACAGATATAGCCACAACCCTTAGGAAAAAAAGGTTTGAAATGCAGAGACATCAGTGGCTGACCCAGTAGTGGAGACAGACTGCAAATTTACTTTTTTTAAAAGATTTATTTATGCATACAGGAGCTGGGGTACAGACCAGAGGTGTGGCGGGGGCAGGGGCGGGTGAGAGGATTCACCAGAGACAGAGTGGGGAACAGAACAGGCAGATTGACCAAAGTACGCTGCTGAGGGGAGCAGTGGGTGAGTCAGGAAAGGTCTGCTGCGCCATGTGGGTGGCTCTCTGGCTGGCCTGGGGATCGAACCATGCTGCCGTGGCTGCGGACATCTTCATAGGTTGCGTCTTAACCCCTTGCACCACCAGGGAGGCCCAGACTGCAAATTTACTGGGAACAAGTGATTAAACAACCCTTGTGGAGAAAACCAGACTCTCTGATGGCTACACTACCTGAAATTCAGTAAAATTCCAAAGTAAAGAGACAAAAAAAGTAGGACCATTCCTAAGAGAAATGCAAATAGAAACTACTATTCTCCAGATGTTAGCATCTGCAGACCTGAAGGCAGTTATTTTAAACATGATGGACATGTTCAAAGACCTAATAGAAGTCATATTTTAAAAAATTAATGTGAAAATTCTGATGAAAACGATGCAACAAATAAAGACTTAATAAAGAGAAAATGTATGAAAAACCAAATGGAACTTGGAGCTTTAAAAAAAAAAGTTCTGAATGAAAAATTTAGTTGATTTGAGACAGCAAAGGGAAGAGTGAATTTGAAGAAGAATCAATAGGTATTATCAAATCTGAAGAGTTGAAGGAGAAAAAACAATGAAGAAAATGAATAAAGCCTCAGAGACTAACGCACATAGTGTTTTAACACGTGTAAGGGGAATACCTGAAGAAGAGGGGGAAAGGCAGGTAAATATATTTGAAGAGAATAATTACCAAAAACTCCTCAAATTTGATGAAAGAGACTACAGACCCAAGAGCTCAGCAAAACTCAAGTAGGATTAACACAAGGAAGTTCACAACTAAACATATCAAACACTAAAAGATAAGGATAAGAAAAAGAACCTTGAAGCCAGCAAGAAAAACAGCTGATCAAAAGAAGATCAAAATTATGATAAAGACCTCACTTCTCACCAGAAATACAATGTTTCTTTTTTTTTTTTTTTAAAGATTTATTTATTTATTTATTTATTTATTTATTTATTTATACAAGCACTGGGTACAGTCAGAAGTACGGGAGGGTGAGAGGATTCACCAGAGCCAGAGCGGGAAACAGAACAGGCAGACTGACGAAATACACTGCTGAGGGGAGCAGCGGGCAAGACAGGAGAGGTCTGTGGCTCCATGTGGGACCCTCGCTGGCAGCCCGGGATTGAACCTGCGTGCAGAGGCTGCGGGCAGCTTCACAGCCCAGCGCTCAACTGCTGAGCCACCAGGGGAGGCCCAAATACAATGTTTTTTATGAATTAAATATCTCATTCAAATAGCAGAAATTGGGGGCCTCCCTGGTGGCGCAGGTGTTAAGGACAGCGCTGTCAAGTTACCGCCAGTCACTGCAGCACAAGTTTCATCCCGGGCCAGGAAGCAGCACATATGGCGCAGCAGACCTCTCCTGTCTTGCCTGCCTGCTGCTCCCCTCAGCAGTGTATTTCAGTAGATTTGCCTGTTCTGCTCCCCGCACTGTCTCTGGTGAATCCTCTCTCACACACACCCCCACATCTCTGGCCTGCACCCCAGCTCTTCTGTGCATAAATAACTAAATCTTTAAAAAAAAAATAGCAGAGATTGTCAGACCAGATTTTAAAAATTCAAGATCCATCTGGTAAGGACTTGCATTCAGACTATATGCTCTATTACAACACAACACATAATAAGACAAATAACACAAGGTTTGAATAGCTGCCTCTCCAGAGAAGGCATACATAAGCCCAATAACAAGGGGTAGGAAGCCCCAAATCTCTAGTCCCAAGGAAGTAGAAATTAAATCCAAAATGACTTATTACTTCATTCCCACTAGACTGGCTTTTTCAAAAAGACAAACTTTAAGAAGTGCCTTAGAGGATGGGAGAAACTGGTCCCCACTGGTGCTTGGAGCATAGAATTGTATAGTCACTATTATTTTTTAAGATGTATTTATTTACGCATACAAAAG